CATGTTGTATTGTATCAGAGAGTCTTGCTTTTCCCTTAGTTTATATTGAGATCTACTTCTACGGAGACTGCTGCTACACTGATCGTTTTCACCTGCATTTGTTGTTGCGTCTGTGATAGAAGAGTCAGATCATCTGCGAAGTCTAAATCGTCAAGTTGCATCCTACCTGTCCACTGTATCCCGTGCTTCCCTCCAGATGTTGATGTCTTCATGATCCAGTCGGTCACCAAGAGAAAGAGAAATGATGAGAGTAAGCAAACTCGCCTGAAACCGGTCTTTACCTTGAATGAGTCGGTGAGTTGTCCTCCGTGGACGATTCGGCAGTTTAGTCCATCATAGGAGTTCCGTATGATATTGACTATCTTCTCATGCAGGCACTCAGTAGTATCGAAGAAACCTCCATAGTGTTGTCCTGTCCACACTATCGAATGCTTTCTCATATTCAATGAAGTTGATGTAGAGTGATGAACTCCGTTCATTTAATTGTTCCACAATGATACGTAGAATTGCGATTTGGTCTGTACACGAACGATCTTTACGGAATCCAGTCTGTTGATCTCGAAGTTGGACGTCTACGGAATTCTTCATACTGTTTAACAATATCATGTTGAAGACTTTCCCTGATATTGAAAGAAGAGTGATGCCCCTGTAGTTGTCGCACTTGCTCAGATTACCTTTCTTTGGTATCTTGATCAGAAGTCCTTTTTTAGTTTTTTGGTACTTGTTCTTCGTCCCAAATCTTACTGAAGAGGATGTGAAATATCTTTGCAGTTGCTACTACATTTGCCTTCAGTGCCTCTGCCGGGATGTTGTCCGGTCCTGCTGCTTTGCCGCTCTTGATTTGTCTAATGGCCGTGTTGTTCTCTTCGATTGTTGGTGGGCCAACATCGATTGGGAGGTCCGTGGGTGCTGCTTCGATGTTGGGTGGGTTCAGTGAAACTAGTCAATTCAAGAGTTCTTTGAAGTGTTCTACCCACCTGTTTCGTTGTTCTTCTTCAATGTTGACGATTACTTTGCCTACCTTGCTTTTACTGTTCTTTCTAGCTTACGATAATTTCCAGCAAGTTTCTTTGTTGTATCACACAGTTGTCTCATGTTTCCTTTTCTTGCAGCCTTTTCCGCTGTTATTGCTTTATCTTCAACATATTTACGTTTGTCGGTTCTAATGCTCCTCTTCACTTGCTTGTTTGCTTCTGTGTATTCGGCTTGTGCCTTGGCTTTTTCCGCTCTGGTTCGGCTGGTGTTGATTGCTGCCTTCTTTTTCCTCCTTTTTTCAATCTTATCAAGTGCACCAACAGTGATCCATTCCTTTGTGGTGGTGCTTCTTGTGGCTCGGAACCAGGAAGACACATACTACTGCGTATCACCCAGAAGGTAACGACCTTGTGGAAAGAAAAATAGGAATCTTATGGTCGTTCGTCAGCAGATCGCCGCCTGAGTTGTGGGATGATAAGCCCACTCAATGTCTTTTAGCTTATCGTACATTGGTACATGGGTCCACGGAATTTTCGCCTGCCGTTTTGCTGTTGAGACACAAATTACACTTACCAGTGGAGATGCAGTCGCCCATGTTGCCCTGTGAAGAACAGGAGCATGTACCGTACAAACGTGCTCTTTGTAACTGCTTAGCCGGTGGATGCCGCTTGGTCAACGTCAACTTGCGCAAAGCTAGCGGCCACCAAAAAATATGTACGATCGTAGGTTGCAAGGACCGGTGTATAAAGTCGGAAACCGCAAGTGAAGGCGTTGCCTCATGACATCGTTAGGTAGTTGAAGTTAATCCCACCAGCCCTGGCAAGGCTCTTTTGAAATCGTCCTCATCCGATTCCCCAGTACGTTTACACTAAGTAACTTATAACGACCTCAGTATGACATGATAGCCGAGCACTACGACCAAATTAAACCAGATCGAACGACAGTTCCCTCTGATGCTCAGTTCGCCGATCCACCGCTTGCCATTCGGATTTATGAGGTATCATCAGAAGGAGGGGCAGAACATCCATGACCCAGACAATGCACTAAGTACAGTGCCTCATTAGGAGAGCGGGCTGTGTAACGGGTTGAAACCACCATGTATGGTGTTGCCAACGGATTCTGTTTTCTTTCTATTGCATGGCGACCAAGTATAAACGCTTTGAACGAAGAAGAAGAGCTAGCCCTGCATGCACTGAACTTACAAGATGACACATGTGTCTATTTTGCAAACTAGCTATCCTTTCCGTACATGGCCCATGAATTTTAATTTTTGAAAATAGAAGACTCGTGGTTTCCATCCCGTGTTCTCTTATGGTGTAAAGTTCTCGGTTAACATTGCGTGATGTGGTTTCAGGTATTCGTCGCTTTTTCGTGACTGCTGATAACGTGTGTTACAACGTCCGTTCGCTGCACAAATTACAAAAATGTACAACAAGAGACATTGTGATGGTTGGCAGTATGCATTGAACAGAATGAACATTGACCATATGTCGATTCCAGAGTTTCTAAATTCTTACTATGGATTACTAATTAACGGGGCCGTCTTCAATTCCTACAAAGTCGAAACATGTATCGTAATTGCGGTATCATCACAATTTAAAAGTCCCGGTTAACTGATTTATAGCGCGATTGCTTAGTATCACTAATTGATTTCAATATATATTGTCGGGATCGTTCAAGCAATAAAAAGAGGTGTGGCTTTGGTGTATCTATGTTTGTAAACGCTAACTGGTATTGATCTGCTTTTATTTGTTTCGAGTTTTAAAATGACTTTATTGACTGTACAACTTTAAGATACCGTCCAAAACACCTGAATGAGTACAAATACGTTTATATTGCCGAAATTAACATGACTCCAGACTGCATATCATCTGAGCTATCTGTTTTCGCTGATGAATTTACTGGATTCGCTATTACTGCCATCTGTGGTTCACTTTCAATTGTATATGTTGATTTCAATTCGTATAACTGTAGTTTGATAAAATCACTAGGTCACCATAATGTTGTAGATTCTCTTACCCATTGGAATGCTCATTTAGACTTCACTTTCATTAATGATGTAGGTACATATGTGACTCGTAAACGTGTCCAATTGTTTAGCTCGTGTCTTTATATTGTTTGTGTTCTACTTAAAGTATATGGGAAGCATGGAAAGAGTGAACTCTTCTGGTAGAACGAGACGTAAATGCATTAAAATCAATGTACACGAGGAAATCCATAAAGGTTCTATAATGCCTTACCTATCAAATATACTGTGATGAACAGGTTGTTAGAGTTAACCTAATCAATAACGTGTATCATTTAGCATGCCCGAATCTGATAAGTTGTACAGACTCAGATATTTTTCACAATTTTGCAACTTCCTTTTATGATTTAGTAAAAAAGTATTATTGAGATACCTCGCGCTGAGATTTGGATATTTTACCGTAATATAATATTGAATAAAGTAATTATTAAAAATAAGGAGATAGGAAAATCCATTTGAATCTGATAAAGTTCCTACCAAATCCAAATGAACACGATGGAAACGAGCATCGGGAGTTTTGAAAGAGCCCAAGGGACACTTTTTGCATCCAGTCACCTTAGATTTCTGGCAGCTTCAATAGGAACGTGTCCAATCACTCACGTCTTTTCTCATACCAGGCCAGCAATATTGTTCCGCTATAAATTTGGTGGTTGTACGAACATCTGGGTTAGAAAGTTTGTGCAACATACTGAAGACGTTGCGTCGGTAGTGTTTCGGCACGATTGGACGACCCATATCTCTAAATGCTTCGCAAAGTAAGGTTTCCTAATATTTTCCCATATGTTTAATAAGCAGTCTGATAGTTGTTGAAGACAACTCGTGCTGAAAATCAATGTCTTCTTTTTGAATCTGTGCACGTTTAAGTAGGTCGATTTCTGGGAAACTGCTCAAGGAAGTTATACGAGACAAGGCGTCTGCGCCTCAGAAATATGTTGTTTATCTAAAGTAAACTGCGAAATGTTGTCCAGTTGCCATGACTGTCGAGGGAATTACTTATCTTAAGACGAGCTCAAAGACAAGATGAGAGGTCCTCAGTCAATAAATAGAGTGAATTCTCGGTCTTCAACAAGTGTTGAAAGTGCCGTACAGCACAATACAGGGCTAGGGGTTCCTTACTGGCCATACTATACTTCGATACAGTGTCTAGTAATCTACCTGAGAAGAATGTTAAAGGTTGTCAAGTATTGTTAACCATTTTTGTAAAACCATTCTGACTTTCAAGTTGGATGCTTTTACTGCGATACTGATGAGCACTTGGATGTACTGGTGTGCGAGCAGTTTTTCTTTGACAATAAGTTACTTAACTATGGAGAATGATTTTTTCGAGATATCGTCAAAATGGATGGAGTTCGCCTTTCCACAAAGTTGGTTTGGTAGACGTTTCACGAGGGACGCGCCATTCGGTATGAACCGTCTATATAAACATCTGCAACAACAAAGATGCAATGACTGGGTTTGCATAAACCCGTGTTAAGATAAACGTACCGTTTACCGTAGGTGGCAATAGGTTTCCCGTTTGCCGCCTGTAAGTTTAAGACCGGTTAGTGCGTTGGAGTTCGCTGCGAGAACTATAATGTCCGCGCCAGTGTTGATGATATAGAGAATTTTCGTCATCACATCAGTGACATATAACAGACTGCTATATTTGCCCGCTACGGTTGCCGTTAACACATGCTGTCTGGTTTTCCCGAGTTGATTTTTGTGTCGGTCAACTTTGAGTTCGGATAATTGTAGTTTCGAGAGGATTTTCCTCGCGGTTTGTTATAGCGGCACCAACTATTAACTGCTACTAGATACGGAGGCCCGTTAAGCGAAAGCTTCTTCTATTTTGTCCACAACCATTTGAAACCATTTTATTCTATCTAAAATAAGGAATTACTTGCAAATATACGAATTTCAATTTCACCGTTCATTATTACATTATAAGGATGGTTTTAAAGGTCTGAATTAATTGCAAAAGATCTCATTTAGCCTGAGTGATTTTTGTTTGACTTTCTGTGACTCGTTGAAATATGAGTCACAGTACATGACCTTATGTTCGGTTGACGCATTTAAAATTGCTCTCTGTTTCTGTTGTGATGTGCCATGTTGTGTGTCGAGGCGGCGGCAGGTTGCAAAATCTTGTGTTGACTAGAGATATTAACGCACTGATCAGTTTTTTAAATAACGGTATTGTTTATTATTTATTCAAAAAATTATGTTCAGGTTATAATATAAATACTGTCAATCAGTTTGACGAAACTGCACTTTACGTTGCATCATATTACGGTGATTCAGAAATTGTTGATGTTCTTCTCAACAGAAATGCTGATCCTAATTTGTGAGTTATCGAACGAGCTAAAATATGTGAATGAACATTTATCGTGTATTCTAGACCTACCGTAGAAGGAAATACACCACTTCATTCAGCTGCCTTTAGAGGACATACAGATGTTATGAGACAGTTACTCACACACGGGGCAGATGAATGTTACAAAAACAATCTAGGTATGACTGCTGCTGACCTTCTTGAGGCTCATGAATCTGCTGAAAAGTGTACTAAGTTATATTACGATGAGAGACGCTTCTAAACTACCATGCCTCATAGGTGACTTGTCAAAGTTGAAAGCTGAACAGAGCCCAAAATCGATAAGGTTAAACTTTCGATCTGCCGAAATACTTCGAAAAAGATATTCAAAGAACAACTGGAAATATATAACTCCATTTTGTTCGGTAATGATAATAAATTTGTCTTTTATCGGTTAATCACCTTTCAGTTCAACTTCCATCACCCACAGTTTCCTAAAGAATTTGTTTCGTTCATACCTGTTTATCGTGTTTCTGCTTCGGAACAGGATATGCCCATACATTCTCGCCTCAACAAAGGAGAATTTTTTAACAGATACTGGTAAGAATATTTGATTTATTAGTCATATTGGCCGTCTGTAAGTTATTATTAAAATAAAACATTTAGATCTCAGACTTGTAAACTACTACTGATCTAAAGAAGAAACTCACCTTGCGCTCAATACTTTTCATTTATAATGTTAGAAGTTGTCAATACATTTAGTTGTGGATTCAGAAAATAAACTACTAATCCGTTTGTTTGATATAATGTTTAGTTGAGTCATGAACGTAGTAAACTGAAAAATCATTGTCCTGCATCATCTGTAGTGTAAAGCGATAGATCCCAACTGACATACAGCCTGGTTAAAATGTGCTCTGGATCAAATTTCTTCATATCAGTAAAGAGAGATGAGATCGAGAAGATTAATAGCAGAGGAGTTAAATTAATTGTAATATCTTGGCCAAAACGAAAATCCAGTCGAGACTATGTATTGGAAAGAAAGAAAGAAATCCGTAGGTTAATATTCAAACCAAAATTCAACAGAAAATTGTAGACATTCAGAAATCAATGTGATTTATTCCTAACCATGTCATCTAACCTTTCGAAAGAAATAAATTCTCTAAATAGGTTTTGTAAACAATAGTCTCGTCACAACGAAATTGTGGCTTGAAATAATACACAGTAATGTGTCGTTTTATGTGCTTGTTAACAGTCGCTGGCAATTCGCAGCATGACAGTGCCTAGATTTAAAGACAGCCATTGATCTGTCATCAGTTTTCCGAGGTCTCTATGTCCAATGTAGTATAGAAATTCGACCCTACTGCTATTTGGCTTTTAAAGTTCGATTTTCACGTGTTGTTTTTCGTTTTAGTGGTAGTGATAGTAAAGCCTAGAAAGGCATATCTCCTAGTAATAAATGTAAGCTTAGCAGTTTATAATTTGATGAAATCACAAAGTAATCAAGCCCAGGGTCTACAAAGTCGATATGCAACTAGTGTTTTTGTCGACCTTTATACTCTTCCGAAAATTTGCCCATGGCTCGTCTTTAAATGTATATTTTGAGGTATATATAATACATACAACAAGTACACTAAGTAGGTACAAATATAATTATTTATTGGATAATCTTTGGAACATATTTTTTCTTTGACTACACTCAGAGATTCATGTGCATAGTTTACTGGAGACATTACTCACGACAATATTTTAAAACAAGTGTCTACTTTATTCACATACATGTCAAATTTCAGAATTTCTCACTTATCTGTAAGAGACGAGTGCTAGTAGTCTTTTTAGTATTTTGAATTTATAAAATGAAGACAGAAGCTACTAACTAGCGTAAATGAGTTGCAACAGTGAATAGTGTCTAAGGTCTTGCTTCGATAGTAAGTGGAAAACGGTATGGTGAAAATCTGCACTTAAAAGAGATGAACCACCATGCTTTAGCGTCAACTGCCTTTTTTATCATTAGTGTTCGGCAGATTTTTGCACATTTTTGATTTTATTTCTAGTATATCAGACTGTACATTATTACTTTAATTACATCCTGAACTATTTTCACCACTATTTCTCCGTGAGATCTTGATTAGACTCATTGTTACTTTTTATGCAAGTGCGGTTATTTAGTTTGTTAACACTGTAGACAAGGTATCCATTATCATCATTAGTTTTTGTTTTACATCTACCTATTTGATAAACATTTGTATTGGCTGTCCTAATCTTCCGATTGATGTTTAGCACCATAATTTACCAGGTTCTCTTAACATCTGTGATAATGTTCGTTTGAATAAGATATATCTTGTTCATTCTCTCATATATATAAAGTTGGCAATGAAAATTTCTTAACACATACATATATATACTTATTTATATCTCTCCAAAATATTCTGGATAGAAGGATATGTGTCCATAAAAATTATGCTTTTTCTATGGGGTGGTGATCAAAATGTTCATTTACTATAGTCGTAAATTAATGGCTAAATTACTCATGCCTCATGCTTCTGATTTAGACGCTGTCACAAGCTGTTTGGTTTGATAAGACGTCTAGTGTCATTATTTTCTATATTCAAAGTTAGATTCAGAATCCGATTACAAATGTCTGCACATTTTAGGTGACTAATATCAAAAAATCATGGGAACGTCAACAGACACAAGCATGTAATCCACACATCAATATTAACAACATGAGTTGTAAATCCGAAAAAGATACCCCTCGTATTAAGGGTTCTAAAATCCGGAAAAAATATATAGACAGTCAGGATTCTTGACGATAAAAGTTTGAAGAACATGTGGTCATTGTAGTGTGAGTTGTTGTTGTTGTTGACACGTTTCAGCCTGGTCTGAAGGTGCGTTGTTTTTGTTTGATTGTATAAAGAAGCATGTATACAAAAACCTAGACAAATAGATACCACTTCCTTTATAGATGTTTCACATCGCAGGCATATCCGAAACAGCTTAATGAAGTATGATATTCCCAGATTTATTGAACTTACTTAGATTACTTCACTTACAATTGTAAGGTAGATATCCTTCGTGATGTCTACTAAAGATTGATCAGAATACGTTACAAGCAAAGACTAACATTGAATAACAACTGAAACTTAGCGAAGATACATAGCATCACTAAGCTTTGAACTTGGTTGTGCTGACACGTGTCGGTATTAAGCCTGTTGCTAGGCTTAACTAAATGCCGATATAGTTATGATATATATTCGTTAATACTTTTCTAATGGTCCCAAATGTATGGTACAAGTTATGACGAATATCTATCTAATTTATAATCAGCTTTAACCACTATTTAAGGTCATATTGTAAATACTACATATTAACCTCCTATCTACATAAAGTCAATCATGTGTGTATATTTTGAACACATTTGGTATATAAAAAACTACTTTCCACGTCTAACTGCGCTGAAAATCCTGCTGACCATAACGATTTTAAATGGTTATATCTGGTTGTAACGAGCAAAAAACACAGCCGAGAAATTGTTGAATAAACAAAATTTTCTCAGTTATCGTAGTAAAATCATTAAAATTACCAGACAAGCATTACTTCAAACAGCTAAAGTCCCACTGTTTTTTCAGACCGGTAAATCAAAAAGTTGAACTATTTAATCTCTCATACCCCCCCCCCAAAAAAAAGTACAATTGCATAAACAGTTGACGTAATTTACATTATCAGATAATTTGTCAGTAATATATCAGAAAAAAGTCAACAAAATAATAGTGTCCCTTATTTAATGCCTACCCTTTCACTAAGCTTCATTAGGTAGCATAGATTTTAGATTTTAAATGACAAGTATAAAGTTTTTGTGGGGGTAATAATTCAGTGGAATATATTGTGTTACAAGTATCATGACGTAACAATAGATAAAAGGATGAAATATATTCATAAAATGACTTAGAAACAAAAGATGTGGTTATCATTCGTTGAGTACTTCCAATTTTATTCCACTACAGATTAGCAAATTGAATCAATACTCTTTTTGAGTTGAAAATATGATTGTTAGCTTTTTTCGGTTAACATAATCACAGATTATTTGAATGTATTTTATTTATTTATTTAAACACAAAAATATTAGTACAAACATGTATCAGACGCATATGCACTACACAAATCTCATTTGGTTTGTGTGAGGGCTGTGATACTGACCAGGTGCTCAAACCGAAGTAGGTGGTTTCCTTAGGGGGTCACACTCGGAGCCTTCGACCTAAAGGTCTGATTCACAAGGCTGTGGAGCATCGTGAGGAAATACATTTTCATGGTAGCCGGTGACCAACAATTGGTTCATACGCCATTCGTTCCTTCAGGATACCGGAGCCCATGTGCACCATTGGTTTGGAATCCGGGTTTCCCAACTTCCCTAGGTGGACTTTCCGTGTCCACCAACCCGGCTAAAGCGCTGGTCATTTGCTTTTCATCCTCTCACTTTCGTGAACAATACCCCCGACACGAGAAGGAAGTGAGTAGGACTACCCTGACAGTGGCTATATTACGCACGGCCATGTGAGAGTATTTCGAGAGGGAGAGCGGAATCTCCCCACTCTCGGCCATACAAGGGCATTTGGGGGTATTTTTGGGAGGAATCACTTATTTTCCAACTGGCTGAGTAAACATATGGCGTTACTTTTCCAAAAATAATGATTTGGGTATAAATCTTATAAGGTTATTATTTCTGATAGGTTTTATTAGTTATTCACTTTTAATGTTTGTCTGAAATTATGTTTATTTTATAAAATTCTATTTACATTAAATTAAAACAATTTTCGATTATAAGCTAATAGAAGAAATGAGCATAGTTGTTCAGGCTGGTATCCAATTGAATTGACATCCCATCATAAGAATAAATGAACACAGTAACAACTAAGTGTTAGGTAGAGTAGTACTAACCTGAATGCAAATAATTATGAAATTTCAAGCTGATAAATATTGATTAACGTTTGAAATGAATTTTTCACCTAATCATAAAATAGTATTTAATGTCGCTAAAATTTTTATCATTCATAATCAATTGGTCGACTTGGCAACAATGTATTTTGTGAAGAAAATATCGGATAGCACTTCTCACTTAGATCTACAGTGGTTAGTGCATAGTTGAATTAAAAGAGTTTCGCTGGTATGAAGCCACTTTGTACTGCCTATCACTTGAGATTAATTGTATTAGTCAACCTAATTCAATCTCACTGGTCTAGAAGAAACTTAATTTACTCATCAAATACTCTTTTTTTTGAACTTGTGTTAAAGGTAAATGTTTCTGGATGTAGAAACTAGTGTAAACATCTGACTCCATCATCCAAAATAAATAGGAAGAAATTGAAACCTTTTACTTAACATTTGACAGTTGAGTGTTTTTGATCATACAAACTCGATTCAGAGGCTAGGATTGTTACTATGGGATCAAAATAAGAGTTAAGTCAGCTAAGTGAAGTAAACAATCTGTGACATTATGAAATACAAAATACAAAGATTATTTGTCATTTGAATAATGTGTATTACAATTGTTTTTCTTACTTAGCAAACAATGGTTTGGAATATCTGTTCTCTTGAATCAACTTAATCCAGATATGATACAGTCGTTTGATAGGAAAAGTAAAACTGTTATGAGAAATTTAATTATCCGGGAATTGGAAGTAATCAGGTTAGTTTCATGTTGATCAATGTAAACTACCCCTATGTTTTAAATTATATTGTTTTATATAATTTTATGCTTAAGACAAATGGGTTGATGAATATCAACAGTTGCGAAACATAGCTTATTGTTTCACGAACAGGCTAATGAATTTCGATGATATTCAGGTTATTACGTGAATCATTTTACTAGTGCAAAGTAACATAACTTGAGAGTGAAACGTGCGAGTAACTAAATGGTCTGAGAATAATGCATTTTATTTTCTCCTAATTAACTGGGTAGTGCCCATTATTTCAATCCGATATTGGGATTTTTCAGGTGAGTGAATATTTGATTCCACTAGGAATATCAGATTATTTCGTCAGGGATTCAATCCAGTTCCAACCACAATGGTTAAGTACCACAGTGCTGATATACACAACAATCCAATCCATGCCTTTTGATAAATAGTGATAACACTTCAAGACATGTTATTCTTGACAGATAATGTTTGAGTTATTTATCTTTTAGCCCCCAAATGCCCTCGTATGGCCGAGAGTGGGGAGAGTCCGCTCTCCCTCTCGAAATACTCTCACATGGCCACGCGTATATAGCCTCTGCCAGGGAGGTCCTACTCACTGCCTTCTCATGGCATTACTGTTGTTTACGAACTTGAGAAGACGAAAAGTGAATGTCTGGCGCTGTAACCGTGTTGGTGGACACGGAAAGTCCACCTAGGGAAGTTGGAAAACCTTGATTCCAAACCAATGGTGCATATGGGCCCCAGTATCCTGGGGGAACAAATGACGTATGAATCAATCGTTGGTCACCGACTACCATGAAAATGCATCTCGTCACGATGCTCCACTACCTTGTGGATCAGGCCTTTAGGTCAAAGGCTCCGAGTGTGGCCCCCTAAGAAAACCACTTGCTTCTGTTTGGGCACCTGATCAGTATCACAGCCCTCACACAAATCTCATTTCATTTGTGTGGCGCATATATATCTGGTGCTTCCTTGTATCAGTATTCATGTGTTTAAATAATAAATAATAAAATAATTTATCTTTTAACAATGAATCAACAAAGAATGTGTGACAGTTAAAGTTGAAACATCTTAGATTAGTTACGTTAGTAGAACTTCGATGGGAGAAAGTTTTAACCATTGAGGTCGATCAGTTTCAATGACGGAAATTGAATAAATCTTATGAAATGACTAAATATTAGTGAAATACGAAAGTTTTTATTCATCGAAAGCAGTTTCTCTATGGAACCAATGGGAAGCTTTTTCTGAAATTACCTATAATGCTCCACTGTGCAATCATGATCAGATGTCAATGAAGCATAAATTCAAACTTCCAGGACTTGAAATCCCATAACTATGATTGCATTCGGTTGCTAAAATAAACAGAGGTGGGGGTATGACATTTAACTCAGTAATTGGCAGTCAGTTTCTTTTTTGCCAAGAGCACACTTCTCTTCTGAATCTGAATATAGGTCGTGAAGAGTACCAGCTCATATCTATACTGTCATTCATTATCTTATACATTCAATTAAAATACTAACATATCTAAGCTCACCATAATATAGCGAAAATTAATAGGTTTATTTACTTATTTATTTGAACACATAAATATTGGTACAAGGGGGCACCAGATATATATGCGCCACAATAAAATGTCGTTTTATTTAATTGTGTGAGGGCTATGATATTGTCCAGGTGACCAGACCGAAGCAGATAGTTTTCTTAAGGGGCCACAACCGGAGCCTTCGACCTAAAGGTCTGATCCACAAGGCAGTGAAGCATCTTGAGGAGATTCAGTCCCATGGTAGCCGGTGACCAAGGATTGATTCGTACTCCATTTGTTCCTTCAGGATACTGGAGCCCATGTGCACCATTGGTTTGGAGTCTGGGTTTTCCAACTTCCCTAGGTTGACTCTTCGTGTCCACCAACCCGGTTAAAACGCCGCAAGTTCGTTTTCCGTCCTCTCAATTTTGTAAACAACAGTAATGCCAGGAGAAGGTATTGAGTAGGACTTCCCTAACAGTGACTGTATACGCGTGGCCATGTGAGAGCATTTGGAGAGGGAGAGTGGACTCTCCCTACTCTCGGTCGTACCAGGGCATTTTAGGGCTCAAAAATTAACTAGTGATTTTCATTAGAAAACCATACATAAGATCGGTTATTATTACGTAGTCATATAAATAACTCAAGGATTTGATTTTTATTCTACCACTGTTTTTAATCTAATTTTTCTTAGTCGTATACATCATCCAAATATCATCAACCTATTGGCTATAATTTACAATATTCCTCACGAATCACGTGATCGATTAATAAATCCTGAAAATTTGGCCTTGGTATATGAACGTCCTTCCATGGGTACTATGTACGAGTATATTCAAGGGAATGTAAGTTAACTAACATCTTATTACGTTGGTTTAACTGAAGTTAAATAATTTACTCCCTCAATTCCAATTGCTGGTCATTGAATTGTTTGAAACTAAATGCTTCTGAAGATAAAGATCCATTTCTAGTTGTTGAATAGAACAGATAATATGATGTGAAGATAGATACATATATGCCATGAGTATGTACTTGTCATTACTTGTAGCTGAGTGGATGCTCTGTTATTGTATACCGTGACAATACTGCCAATCAGAGAGCAGCGAATTATCTGTCGGACTAGCGACACACGAAACCCGTACTAGCAGTCTAGAGCACTTGTCCGTCCTGTTTCTGCCTAGCCCAACCAGTCAAGTCCAGAACAGCCTCTGCGGTATGGATCATTATATTTCAAACATACTGAGTTTTTATACCAATCATACAGACCACATCCTACCGTAAAATGGTAAATAACAGTTGTACAATTTTTAGTCAAATGTTGCTGTGAATAAGGGGAACAGCAATTAATAGACTGGGTTTAACTCAGGAATGATAAATCGTTTAGTAATAGTTCATAAGTCAAAATAAAGCTCATAATGAGGGGGACATCAATATGAACAGTTTAGTTATTTAGCAATTTTCCGATAGAAAATATATGCCTAGTATTAGTTCATAATAGATCCCAAAGTTATCATTCATTATCCTTATCGGGGCATAACAGTACTAATACCATATTCTTTTAAATTAGAATAGTATTTAAATTGAGATGCAGTTGCCTTGGGTAATTATTAAGGTTCAGCAGAAAATTCTCTTCAGATAAGTTCTGTTGTTGTGATATCCCTTTAATTTCAAGTATTTTAATTGTGTGCTTTACGTAATATATGGTTTGAGATGGCTTATACAACTAATTATGTATTGACTTACGACTACACCATACTAGCTTGAATATAATCAAATCTTTCTTAGACGTAATCAAATACGTCCAGGTCTCCTGACGATACCTTTGCAACAAATACGGAACATAAATTGGTCAGTTACTGTGATTTTGAGGATTTAAGATTTTTCAATACCTTGAATAAGCTAGGTTTGTGCTGGAGATATATGTTTTGGTTTGCTCTGTTTTTAGGCTGAATTAAAGATAATGTAGAGACTGGAAACTATAGTTTCATCGTCAGTCTTGAATAAAACCTTATTCAGCCCGAGTGGAACAATTTAATGCATCATCCGCATAAATTCTTAGATGAGTGTAAGAGTAGGTACCGAGATAATTTTAACTTATAATGTAATTTAGTAACCAAGTTCAGATTATTGTATATCTATCTGTGAACCACACGTCTTAATATCAGTGATACAGCTATTATAAAAACACAAGCTGGTAAAATTGATTTTGAACCTAGAAACAGATTTATTATTCATAAGGATTTAAATTGTCCCATTATTAATATTCTGGATTGATTTTCGTTAAGTTTTTGTTGATATACGTACATTCTGTGTGGTTTGTTTTGATGTATTAACCTTATGGAATAGACAGATTTTAACTAGCTATGGGATCCAGGACGTACATCTTGTTTTATTTGAGATATATCAGTCGGATGTACTTGTCGTCGTTCACATTTGAACTATACTAATAGCCATAATCTATTTATCCTTAGACAACATGCTTGAGATTCTAATGCTTTCACTATTAATACCATTATTCTCTGTTCTGAATGAATGAACTTAATTAAAACTACATAGATATATGAATAACATTTGGAATCTTTAACCACAAAAGTATTTAGGAAAAAAAAATATATATCTTATCGTGTACATATTCTTCACAGAAAAGCTGTCACTAATATCAGTCTGTACAGTAGGATGGCCCCGAATTCCCTGGTACTGCCGAGGGTGGGGAGGGTCCACTCTCCTTCTCGAAATATACTCTCACATGGCATCGTGTATACAGCCACTGATAGGAGAGTCCTACTCATTGCTTTCTGGCGGCAGCGGCGTTGTTTACGTAATTGAAAGGACAAAAAGTGAATGTCCGGCGCTTTAACCGGGGATTTGGAAAACCCTGATTCCAAACCAATGGTGTACATGAGCTCCATGATTCTGAAGCGAAAAATGGTATATAAGTCTATTGTCGATCACCATGGGATTGAATCTCCCGAGATTGCTCCACTATCTTGTGAATTAGACCCCTAGATCAAAGGCTTGGGAAGTGTTAGCCTCCTAAGAAAACCGCGTCATTCTATCTGGGCACCCAGGTAGTATCAGAGTCAAATGACTTATGTGGTGCATATATATATTCAGTGCACCTTTGTACCAATATTTATATGTTTAAATAATAATAATTAATAAGCTAATGAACAGTAGGATATCATTGATTCCATTCAACTTATAACATTCATTTAATTTTGCCAAAAAAAGAAAGTCCCATCTCTTTTTTTTAAAAGTCAACGAGGAGTCTCACAATAGGACGAAACAGCCGTCCAGTTCTTCCAGGTTTTCCATGATGATTCAGCTTCAATTGACTCATGATTTCAACTATGATTATACAAATGTATAAATCTCATGGATAATACTCATTTATGAAGACGAGTGTTCAACTACATTAAACTGTATTATTATTATTATGAGTGAAACTCATACAAACATTGAAAAGAAAAACAGACGATTAAGTTAACGAATGTTTTGTTTATTTGGTTGTTTGTTTTTTTACCTGATTTTGATTTAGTTTATTTATCACACACACATGTAAACACATATAAATGTATGTGTACATTTTTCTGAGAAAATATTATTTTTTTTAAAAAACTACAAAATGGCTGTTCAGTACATCCAAGTTTCCCATGGTAGTCTAACTTCAAATGATTCATGATCTCAACTATTAACTCCCCCCCCACCTCCTGTTTAAGGTTTAAAATATGATGAGTAGTAATCTTATTGATAAATCAATTTTAACCCCAAAAAATTTCATTACCTTGAACTTGTTCATTTTGCAAATATTCAATTTTAATATCCAGACAATAATTAAAAAAAAATTTTTTTTTTAGTACATAGATTATAGGCGAAGCTCTGGATTTTTGATTCGAGTAGCAATTGCCTCAGCTGTCTGCAGTATTCTCAGTCTGACGGTATTAGGTAGACTGCTGTTAACATCAATATATTAACCTGGCCAACTTCAGGATCAACTTGTTAATACATGATTTAGAAATTGATTGTAATTAAAGTACCACTGAAAACTGAAAAGTACTAGACAACTTTTTCGTTTTGATATATAAAACTCATCAGTAGAATATGGCAACGACCCTTTCAGAGCTTGAATAAATATACGAAGTACTATAGTTTTTGATGAAGTGTTTGAATTTCTCCACATGTGATCACATGTGGAGAAATTCAAACACTTCACTACCCGAAGTTTGTGCTGATGATGTCGTTCAGAAGGACGATGAAAGCTCCACGACCAAACCACCCAGCTCAGAGAATCACCCACCTGAGCTGCAAATCTTCTCCACCATCTCGAAGTACTATAGTAATAAAATTAGTCTCAGAAGGAGTTTCGTGGAGATTTCAGTATAGTTGAAATAATGAGTGAGACTGGTATGTCCTGGGTTCGAATCTTACGAGGAGGGATCGTGGATGGGCACTGCTGAGGAGTCCCATAATAGGACGAAACAGCCGTACAGTGCTTCCAGTTTTTCCATGGTGGTCTAGCTTCAATTGACTCGTGATTTGAACTATGAAAATTAGTCTTATTGTTGAAGAAGTTGATTAAACATTTAGAGTATGAAGGAGGAACAAATGAATGGATTGAAAAAATTAAAAAAATAGAAAATAATTTTAAAACTTAAGATCTAACAGTAAGTAAAGAGTGAACGTGTTTGTTCATTTTTCTCTTTATCCTGGTACTTCGAAGTAAAGTTCAGTTTTATACAGTTCAGATCATGAGTCAGTATAAGGTAGACCACCATGGAAAACCTGGAAGCACTGGACGGCCGTTTCATCTTATTGTGGGACTCCTCAGTTGTGTGCATCCACGATCCCGCCTCGCGGGATTCGAACGGCCGTCCAGTGATTCCAGGTTTTCCATGGTGATCTAGCTTCAATTGATTCATGATCTCAACTATATAAAATTATTAAAATTCCCACGGAATCTCCTTCTGATAAAGTTTAATTATCATATGATAATTCAGCTTGATCAGATAACAAGAATTAGCAATTTAATCTGAAATAGAGATCTTATCTAATGATAGCTTTAAATAAAAATAGAAAAGGTTGATTACATTAGTAAAGTGTTATATGAATGTTGAGGCGAAATAGTCAACCTTTTGACCTGATACATTGACCTCTTATCGATTGATTAATTAACTGGAGATTTTTCCACAATTATTTTTTGAAAATGTAAATTACTTAAATTATCCTACTCGTTGTTGTTTAGTTGTATCTTCCCATTGTTATTTTGGACTGCATTTGATCAGTCTCTTGTTGGCATATGTGCATCCTGTGTGGACTGTCTCGAAATTGCCTGAAGTCACAAGCTTTATGAGCAAAGATGGATAGTGGCTTGCAGTGGAATACAGGACGGGCGTCTCGTCCTATTTGGGACTCGTCATCTGGATGTATCTGCATATAACTTCACCCCATTGCACAAGCAGGTGGCTATCAGGATTCAGTAGCTTAGTGGGTAATGAGATGGCGTTTGAAGCGAACAACACTGGGTTTGAGTTCTAGAGTGAACATTAAATTATCTCACTGTTTATTGGGATTTTCAACAACTCGAAGTTGACGTTAATAAGATAAAGAGAAATCAACGATTTTAAGATTGTAAAGAATTATTAGTTAAACACTGATTTCATAATTATTATTCCGTTCCTTTCATTTTTTTCGTCAGTATTGTTACTGTCTTCTTTTCTTGTATCTACCTTACGACCTTTTTTTGTCCAATTTGCTAATGTTAACAGTTGAGATGTTGACTTACACACATTTATAAATAGTTATGGTTTGACTACATTTCTCAGCTAGATACGTCAGCATTTAAATGACGAAATAATGATTTATTGTAAAGTTGATAGTTAAAGTGGTCAAGTAGAAAGCGTTTGCTGTCAATAATCTCTTCAAAGCTGAGTAAACTCAGCATTCGTTGCTTCTTTATTGTTTTAGACGCCTGTATGATGTCCACAGTGAAAAGAATATCAATTAAGTGTCTAGTCATCTTAACTATGAACACTTCATTTTCACTCAGATGCATCGTTCGATGACTAAGTTCAGTAAATTTTATTGGTCCTGTTCTTTTAATCCTTATCCATGTATCGCTCTCAAAAGTGAATATACATTCAAAAATGCACTTGTAGGTGACAATAGAAGGATATTCATATACTTCTGATTGGTTTTAGAAACATGTGGTGTTAAATACTGAAAGTAGTTGAGCTTCACCGAAGCTTCTTTTTAGTGCTGCTTTATTCCTTTTACCGATCCTACCTGAAACATTATCCTCTTTGAATGCAAGATGGATAAATATGATCTTTTTTCTTGATGGTTGTTTAGTTAGGGCATTTTCCAATTCTTCCTAATACATTTTCTCAGACATCCATTTTAAATGAGACATTTTCAAATGTTTAGCATCCACTCATTTTTTCGGTTGAACACAGTCTTCTAGGCATGTTAAATAGGGTTTTGACTAAGCAATATTTGTAACTAGTGAGACGAAAACTACTATGCTTTAACGTTGACAATAACCTGAACAAAGGAAAGTGAAGTGCGAACATGATGATATAACACTCTACAGGAGATGCATTAACAATTTGCCAATGGTTTATAATAATATGAATCATGGGTCCTTTGGATTTTACCAGTTTAACGAAGGAAATGAAAATATCATATATATGATGGAATGTAAACTTAACAAATAATGAAACTCTCCAGAAATAAACATGAAAAATGAAATGAGTCAGATATCGCATGAAACGATAGTCTTGGATTCCATTGCTAGCCATATTCCATCTATTCTATGCCATAATAGTTTTATCAAAATTATCCTCACAGAATGCATGTATGCTAACAAAGCCTGATCGAATTTCAGTCAACAACGCGATAGTTCATAAATGGTATGACCGATGGTTTATTACTTTAAATTTTGCGTGGTTCACCAACTGAACTTAAATAATGTGACTTTCTGCATTAGTATTATATCTGATAATAGCTATGAAACATATGAATACTATAATGTAACACAATTATATTCAACGTCACCTGTTAGGATAAACTATAACATATTGAACTAAATCAGATTTGTAAGCGAAGATGGATAGTGGCTAGCAGTGGAATACGCGCGCTTCGTTATATTTGGGACTGGTCAGCTGGATATACCTGCATCTCAGAGTTGATGTTCACTCTGAGACTCAATCCCAGTACTTTCGCGTTCTCCACTCAGCTAATGAGTCTTGATAGCCACCAGACAACTTCGCTTACAATGCTTGTGAATTAAGACTACATCGAGGCAATACGCATAGTATGCACATATGCCAATTAGAGACTGATCAGTTGTAGTCCTAAATATCAATGGGAAGATTCAAACAAACAATACCAAGTAAATCAGATTTATTTGAAGAATAGACCACTTTCATTTGGATTTCACTTTCAAAGCACCACATTTTTATACTATACTTTGAAGAAATAATTAGATGCGAAAATTTAGATAGTTAATTATCTTGATAAAGACTAAAGAACTAAGTTATGTAACGCAAATGATAATAATAATACGTTGTTTAAATTATTCCTCATGAAACTAGATTTTTAGCATTTTGAATAAATTTAGCTAACCTGGAAGCACTGGACGACCGTTCCATCCTATTGTCGGATTCCTCAGCAGTACGTATCCACGATCCCGCCTTGCGCGATTGGAATCAAGGACCTACCAGTCCAATGCTTCCAGGTTTTCCATGGTGATCTAGCTTCAATTGACTCATGATCTCAACTCTATAAAATTACTAAAATCTCCACAAAAACCCCTTTTGAAAATTTATTTAACTCAAAAAATGTGTAAACGTCTTCATGGAATAAAGTCTGTCGATTTAAAACCCTATGATGGATTATAAATTCGTTATTTTTCAGGTTTATTTACTGCTATTCATTTAGGTAGTAGCTAAATATTGTTTTCTTTTTGTGTAATTCCAGGAAAATACTCTATCCACATTATCAGCTCTTGTTATTTCATGTCAAATATCTGAAGCTTTGCTATTTCTACATTCATCTGGTATTTTACATTGTGGTGTTACACCGCATGCCATATATTTTTATGCAGCCGATCGAGTGAAACTAGGCAATTTTGAATATTGTCAGTTTATTCAGTAAGTGTTAGTGTTTTTGTTTTGTTTTATGATTATGCCAGTTGTTAGGATTTATCAGTTATTTAGTCGGTCTAATCGTAATTAATGTCTTCTAAGAGAAGTGGTTTATGTATAATCATACGGGTGGGTAGTACAAACGTTTTGTGGTCGGTAAGCAAGCTATGGAGATTGTTGAATTATGTTGAGATCACAAGTGGAGTTCAACTGAGTCTAGTGTGATGATGGTGTCCTGTGAAGACAATGAAAGATATCAATGACTGATTACATTTAGACTTGCACGACATTGTGTTTCGTCTCAGTGATCTAGAGGTTAAACGTTGGCGCGCGAAACCGAAGGTTCTTAGTTTGATTTATAGTGGTGTGGTCGCAAATGCGTACCGCCGTAGTGTTCTGTATCAGATCTTCCAGGGTTTTAATGATTGCTAACTTAAATTGATTCGTGATCTCAATAAAAGAAGTAGGTCTGTTGATTTTATGAAAAGTTTCAGATATTATAAACGTAATTGCTAACAGAAAAAAGAATTGACTGAATAACCGTTGGAAATCAACATCTTTAATTTAAAAAGATCAATCGTTAATTTAACGGTAATGTAATTAAGGTGAAATCTGATTGTCCTTAGTTCGAAACCTTGTTAGGCTATCTGTCTGCCATTGCTGAGAAATATAAAGCTGGAATGAAGTAGCTACCCTATTTTGTATTTAAAATTGATATTGGTAATTTAATAACATGTTATAACCAATGTTTTTTCCAATAATATTTCTAGAATCTACGAGAATCAAGGAAATGAAGATAGGTATCATTCGGATGGCTTGTCAATTCGTAAATCAAAGTCCCGTTCACATCATTATCATCATCGTCATTATCAGCAAGATTATAATTTTGTCAAAGACAACGATCATCAACAACAACAGCTACCTTCAATATTTAATCTACTTCTTGGAATTTATTATTTACCAGCTAATTGTTTAACGGATTGGTTACCCAGTGAATTATATAATTCATCTAATCATTTATTTAATTATAATCATTTTACCGATCTTTTAAAATCAGTATCCATAGATGAAATTAATCAAATGATTAGACCTTGTACAACGAGTGATGTATATTCATTAGCTAAATTAATTCAATTTATGTTGCCATCAATGAAACAAATCACCAAGAATACTGATATTTATTCATTTAATATACCTAATAATCTATATACATTGATATGTTCAGCATTAAAGATGAATCCAGATGAACGTTTATCAATGAGACAGTTTAATAGATTATTGATACATTTATATTGGGTAAGTTTTTTTTGTTTGTTGGATGTTTGGTTACTACTGTTGAGGTAAGGTGGTGGTTGGAGGTGGTCAACAGGAAACCCTGATTCCTGAGTTTCGTGCTAATTGGCACTCATCAGCAAGGTGTACCTGTAATTTTGAGGGAACTGGTGCTCCTTGACGGTTACTACTACTATTTGAGTTGTATTATTAATAAATAAAATTAAAGTCTGAGAGTCTTAAGTGCTTCTATGTACTCCATCGGGTCAACGCATTTATACCCTAAATGTCCTGGTACCATCGATGGTGGGTAGAATACACACACAATCTCTCTTGAAATGCCCTCACATAACCAAATATATAAAATCACCAACAGGGGAGTCCTAGTCAGTACCTTCTCACATCAATGGTGTTGTTTATGAAGTTGAGAGGACGAAAGCGAATGTCCGGGGGTTTTACAGGTTTGGTGAATATGCAGGATTCATCTAGGGGAGTTTAGAATCATTGAGTCCAAACCGATGATGCACATGAGCTCCATGATTCTGAGGAAAAATATGGTGTGTAAACCTATTATTGCATACAAGCTACCATATAACTGCATCTCGTAACGTTGCTTCATTGTTTTGTGAATTAAACATCTAGGTCAAAGGCTAAGGAAATAGTCTCTTAAGAAAAACCATCTGGTTCGGTTTGAGTGACTCGAGCAGTATCCCAGCTCTCATTTAAATCAAATTATTTTTATCGTACAAATGTTATTGATGCTCCCTTGCACCGATGTTTATGTGCTTAAATAATGATAAATAATGAACATTTATTGATATTTCAATCAGCGTCAGATATACTTTTATCTTTATTTATTTATTTATTTATTTATTTATTTATTTATTTGAACACATAAATATTGGTACAAACAGGCACCAGATACATATACGCCACACAGATCTCATTTGATTTGTGTGAGGACTGCGGTACTGCCCGGGTGCCCAAACCGAAGCAGGATACTTTTATCTAATTTTATCATAACAACAACTTCCAACTAAAGTTATTTATATAAGTAGTTTGCACCCATTTTGTGATTGTAGTCTTTGAGTATTATATACTGTACGCAAGTGACGTGTACTAGACGAAATAGAATGAATTCACGATATACTGCTACCTTCTTTGTTCCTGCTCTCTTTAAGAGAATAAAGAAAACTATTTGCATGGAATTCAAATGAGACAGTACTCAACGTTTCAAAATTATTACAGCTTAATGCCTTTTGTGTATAAAATTTAGAATTCTTTTGAAAATCTTAAAGATGATATTTATGTCTGCAACTTGGAAAAATACTTGGAAACTATGTCATTCATTTGCTAATAACAAATCACAATTTCATGTAGATATTTCAAGATCATGAATTCAATAAATATTCAAACATTTCAGAGAAATTGTCGGTTGTTTGTCAGTTTGTCATCACCTGAATTCCAGAGTGAACATCAACTCTGTGATGCAGGTACATCCAGCTGACGAGTCCCAAATAGGACGAAACGTGCGTCCTGGATTCCACTACTAGCCATTATCCATCTTTGCTCATAAAGCTTGTGACTTCAGGCAATATCGAAGCAGTCCGCACAAGAGACTGATCAATTTCAGTCCAAAATAACAATGGGAAGATACAAGTAAACAAAACCAAGTGAATTCAACCGATAGACTATTATTTAAAATGTTGGTAAGACAGTATGTACCACTTTTAAATGAATATGGTAACAAAAATCTCAAAATGAAAAACGACAGAGCTCGTAAAAGTAAGTCATGCTTTAAGAACCGTGACATTCGATAGTTGAATTCATGAATCAATTGCAGATACACCAGGGTGCAAAACTTGGAAGCACTGGACGGCCGTTTCGTCCTAATATGCGATTCCTCAGTAGTGTGCATCCATGATCCCGCCTCGCACGACTCTAACCCAGGACCTTGACCTTCTTGCCGACCAGTCTCGTGGAATTTCTCACTTTTCAAAAATTAATATTGTATACCTTTGAATAAAAGCATTTTTGAAATGATGTTGGATACTTACAGTTCAGAAAGAGTATTTTAATTCTGTTTCTGTGCTGGTTGACTTAATTGCTAAGTTTTTATTTGTCTGTCTGTCTGACATCATCATCAGCATATATCTCGAAACTCTTATTTTTCTTTGATCTACATAGTCAAGATTTTATTCAGATGTAAATTGAAAGCTTCATCGCTAAATAAATCAACCAATCAACTTATAAACCGTAATACCAACAAAGACAATATTCATTTTACTTAATTATGAACTATATTCTATACATTCGTACTCAATAGTTTTACTATCAACTATTTCATTATTTCCGTCATAAATAAATAAATCAAAATAGTGAAAGTTATTGTTTGTTCATTTGAACCTATTTCATTCACATAGTTCACGTCGTTAATTATCAAAAGGATAAAAATCTGTTGTACTGTTGCCTAAGGTAACAGTGTTAAGACAATAATATCTGATGTTTACTGTTGTATTACAATTGTAATTATTGATACTGATAATAAGATGAATCATTCTAAGGGAACAATATAGAATGTTATCAATTCCATTTTGAATTTATTTTGTGATCTCTCCATAGGTAGTGTATATATACACACAAAGTAATAAATGATGGAAGGGTGATAAGGAGGTGCAAATAGCTAGAATTCATTGTTGCATTATATTAGTAATTGACAGTATTAATACTGATATAACATGGTGACAATTTCACAATTGATTGATCATTGGGTGGTGATCAATGTCATGCGTGTCAAGTCCATCTTAGTGTTGATCGAATGCTATCGATCAAGTTACAATGTGGCCCCCAGTCTAGGTGGCTCAACACTACGTGCACTATGTTGAGATAAGATGATGGTTGGATGTGGTCCCTTCCCGAATAGCTCAGTGGTAATGTCTCTGACTGTGAAGCTGAGTGACACGGGATTGAATCCGTCAGGGAGCACCAGTTCCCTCAAGATTACAGGTACACCTTACTGATGAGTGCCAAGTAGCACGAAACCCGGGTCCAGGGTTTTCTGTTGACCACCTCCAACCACTATGGTGAGGATTTTTTATGTTGTCAATATCATGTTAAGTATTTACTTCCCTTATGTTTCCTATTGAATATCGAGACAAATTCGAAATAGTACATGTGATGATCTAATTATCTACAACACGCTACAGTAGTTTATAATTATTAATAATCAGTCAGTCACAACGTAGAACTTCGTACGTACGTACATTAGTCCGAGTTGCCATACCACATCAGCAAACAGATACAGTTGTCCATTCCAACCCCACAGTGGTAGAAGTAGTAAGAGTATAAGCAGTAATAGGAAAGAATAGGGTTTGAAGATGTTATTCAAGGGGTATAATCCAGTGAAATACATTTAGAAAGAGCAAAAAAAGATAGAGACATGAAGAATTCAGAAGATTAGAATTTGGGAGAACACAAACAGTAGATGCACCTCCGCCATTGTAAACAATTTTCAGCCGTGTCATTCAAGGTCTCTAACCATCGATTGCTATCATCTCGCGAATCCCAACCACGTAGTCTACACCTACCAACATGGCTCATTCCACTTGTCAGTGACCTCATAGATTTGTGCCACGTTTTGGTCTGGCCGCCCCTAGCTTTCTTCCAATCTACTCCTACGCTATGAAACATTGCACGTCGAGGCAGTCGGTAGTTGGGCATACGTAACATGTGTCCCAGCCATCTCAACTGATGAAGTTTCACTATTTCATCAATCGATTTGTCATCTTTATGTAGCAATGAATAATATGAATTAACAAGGTTATTTTATATATGATAGTTGAAATCTGGGTGTGATAGACTTCTGTTTGTGTTTTGATGAAGTATGAATTATTTTAATGTTTATATTATTTACGTAAATCAAATCTGATGTTTGACTTATCATCATCAACATACTGTTAGTAATAATATTGACATATGTAATAATGGCTGCATGACTTCTATTGACCTCACTGCATGTCTTGTGCAGCAGATATTCATATCAACCCGTCCTGTTTGATTAAAGAAATAGTGAACAGATCACTCAGTGAATTGGTTGTTAACTATCCATATCAACAACTTATTTTTATCCAGTCCAGTCCATGGAGCCATGAATTGTTGAATTGAACCACATTGTGAAGTTCAAACTACCTAGTTCACAGGATAATTACGACCAGTGGTTCTAGATATTGGGTTTCATGTGTCAGAATCGGTCACCATAGTGAAGATGAACTCACTGATTATTTTTTAATAGATCAGTCAGTACTGTTTCTACACGGATTTATTCCCTTTTTTCGAAGCTTATTTTTCATTGTAAGCAAAGATGGATAGTGGCTAGCAGTGGAATCCAGGACGCGCGTTTCGTCCTATTTGGGACTTGTCAACTGGATGTACCTGCATCACACAGTTGATGTTTACTCTGCGACTCAAACCTAGTATCTTCCGCTTCAAACGTAATCGCGTTATCCACTCAGCTAATAAGTCCTGATAGCCACTTGCTAGGACGAAACGCGCGTCCTGGATTCCACTGCTAGACACTATCCATCTTTGCTTATGATGCTTGTGACTTAAGGCTATATCGAGGCAATACGCACATTATGCACATATGCCAATAAGGGACTGATCAGTTGCAGTCCTAACCCCCTATTTTTCATTATTTAGTCTTTTTCATTATCATTGAAACTATTATTATAACAATTCTTTTGTCATACATCTTGTTAATTTCATATCTCTTTGTTGATGTACTTTGGCAAACGAATTCAAATCTTCACCATGAATCATTTGAGTAAACAAAGTAGATTGTATAAATATAGTTAGTCATTCATTGACTTCATCCATTTTACAATATCACTATGATTACAATTATTTATTTTCACCTCTATTACAGGTTGAACGTGATCGGGAAAAGTCGTTTCATGTATCATTTAACAATATGCCTCCATGTTCATTAAGACTATGTAATCATAAATGGAAACCACGTTATTGTGAACCAATTCGTCAATTGTACAAAATAAATGATAAAGAATATCCCTTTTTGAATAAAAGTATTTCTCCTATACATTGTCAGGTACGTTGTTATGTCATGAGTTGATATGAGTTAGTGTTGCATACTTTTCTCATAGTGAAACAATCTGTAAATAGTCATGATTATGTTTTGCATACTTGTCGTTTATTAATTAAAAATAGAGTCCCCTAATGCCCTGGTACGGCCGAGAGTAGGGAGGGGCCACCCTACCTATCGAAATGCTTTCACATGGCTACGCGTATATAGCCTCTGTCAGGGAAATCATACTCACTGCCTTCTCGTGTCGATGTTGTTTACGAAAGTGAGAGGATGAAAAGCGAATTTCCGGTGCTTTAACCGGGTTGGTGGACACGGCACATCCACCTAGGAGAGTTGGAAAACCCTGATTCCAAACCAATGGTGCACATGGGCTCCAGTATCCTGAGGGAATAAATGGAGTATGAATCAATTGTTGGTCACCGGCTACAATGGGACAGCATCTACTTACGATGCTCCCGTGACTTGGGGATCAGATCTTTATGTCTGCTCACATCCTGTTTGCCATAACCAGTGTAAGAAAGATTATCACCTTGAACTTAATAGTACAAGAAACTTCCGAAAGTCCAAAAATGGTGAATCTTGTGTTAGTTAACATGTACACTCGTGAATTGTTTTCATATGCCAAAGAATTGCAGTCTTGGTGGTAGTTCAGGTTGTTAAAAAAGTTATAATTTAATATTCATCTATAATTTTCGCAAAGATGACTGTCAGATTGACTTAATTTACCTGTTACCTAGAAATTATTCAAATTCTATTCTTCTCTGACTATACATATCATTTTCCATTACTGTACTTTGACTACTACCCTAGTAATGATACTACGTATACAGTTTCTCGTTTTCATGAAGATTGGAATCATGAACTATAAAATGATAAATTGTTACCCTTTCAAATTCCTAGAGTGTGTCTTATCAATTCCAGCGAGAAAAATGCTCTTAAAAATAACTAAGCAATTAATTTACAGTTGTCTTAATCATGTTAGAAGCTGAATCTCATTGTATTCTAGCAATATTATTTTGAATAGATCCGTCTTCCTAATTGACGTATTCCACAGTATATGAATCAGATATGAATTTCATACACCTAAATAGGATTGATTTATTCATCTAGGGTTTTCTAAAGGTCTTAATTTTTTAGACTGTGGAACCGACTATGTTCTCCGCTGAAGCAGTATGTTCACTTAGAAAATTTATTAATTTCAATATGTATTCAAAAGTAGTTAGGCTTCATGGAATGTTAACTCTCATCAAGTTGTAACAGTAGCAAATGGTCTATATTCAACTAAGCAATTCATAAAACCGAGACAGTTATTTTAATCAGAAGGGGGGTTTTGTGGAGAATTTAGTTATTATATAGTTGAAATCATGAGTTGTGAGATAGTAACTCACTGAAGACAATAGTGGACGGTTGCTCAATTTTGTGAATTGGTTTAAGTTGGACATTAACACCGTTGGATGCCGGCTCAGTGGTCCACAGGTTAAGAAGTCACGCCCGAGACTGATAGGTCCTGGGTTCGAATCTCGCGAGATGATCTCGTGGATGCGCACTGCTAGAACGAAACGACCGTCCATTGCTTCCAGGTTTTCCATGATTGTATAGCTTCAATTGACTCATGATTTCAATTATAAAGTTATTTTGATCCCTGTAAAACAAATTACCATTGTTTTAATATTTATGGTTGGAGAATCGGGATATTAAACCACGATGGATTTCATGTCCACTTTCATGTTTAGTAAGATATTTATATTTTCCTATACTTCACTATGAATTCCCTAAGATATGTACTAGAATTGTTCCATAATATAGATAATCTTGATCATTATCATAGGGGGTTGGTAGAAATTGTTAAGTTTTATAATTTCTATCATAGGACAATTTTTGGTTGGGCAGCTATTGAAAACCTGAAAGCACTGGATAAGTGTTTTATTTTAGTAAACGTTTTGTCATCTATGTCTATCCTCAACTTCCTTATAGAGATCGAATTCATAACCTAGACGTTTCCTAGACAAAAACGGAATAATATTCATGTACTATTGATACGACTTATTTTCAGTTTACTTTTAATTTACTAACAACTGGTTCAGATCTACTTCATTAAGTTTTCAAGGTACGTATATTTCTGGGTATTAAAACATATGAATGAAATGCAAACAATTTCTTCATATTTAGTTCACTGTATTCATTTGTACCGGGTTTTCTTTGACAAAAGAAGACAAGAAAATTTAAACTATAGTTTGTTTGTACCCAACCTATTCTATTCATATCAGTTATGTTTTTAGTTGCCAACTGTATTATAAAGCGTGAAAACTTATCATATTGTTGCCTAAGGTAACAGGATTAAATAGTGATATTACATGTTTATCATTGTGTTTTGTGATTAGGGACAAACATCAATAACAATTTCAAAGCAGATTAGTAGTAAAAGTTGAAGGAGAAAAAAAGGGTAATTAGCTTCATTGTACAAAGTATTTTGCTACATTTCTATAGATCATGTAGAAATCCATATGTGATTAGAACATGGTAGTTAATAAGAAGTAATTGTAGAAAGAAAAAGCTGTAAAGCTGTGTAATTTTTAAATTTTGTAGCTATTGTGATTGATTAGCGTAAATTGTCACTTATTCAGTTGACAATCAGGGTCCGCAAGTACGGTATGTGCTTTGCACCTTGAAACTGCAAAGTACTCCTACAAGACTGGCAGGATTCTCATCCTGTACTCACTCTGGATGGTGAGCAGATTGAAGTAGTTGAGAAGTTCGTGTATCTAGGTAGCTATATAAGTGCTGGTGGTGGCGTGAGTGATGAGATTGATGCACGTATAATGAAAGCCAGAGCGGCTTATGCCAATCTGGGCCATCTTTGGCGCCTTCGTGATGTTAGTCTGGCTGTAAAAGGTCGGATCTACAACGCGTTGGTGAGAGCAGTTTTGCTCTATGCTTGTGAAACCTGGCCTCTCCGAGTTGAGGATGTTAGACGACTATCCGTGTTCGACCATCGTTGTCTCCGAAGGATTGCTGACATCCAGTGGCAACACCATGTTAGTAATGCAGAGGTTTGGCACCGTGTGTTCGGGCGCAGAGACGATAAATCAATTGTTGTAACCATCTTGAAACATCGACTTCAGTGACTTGGACATATTCTACGAATGTCGTCCCAGAGAATTCCTTGTCGTGCATTATTTGCCGACCCTGTGGCTAGTTGGAAGAAGCGGAGAAGTGGTCAGCGTATGATATCGTGTCGTGGTTTGAAAGAAAGCTGCAAAGGGTTAGCTTCTGTTGATCCTTCACGACTACCTGGCTGGAGTCTGAGAGATGGTGCAACACAGTGGCTAGATGTTGGGTTGGGATATCGTGTTCAAGTCTCTGTGCAGTTCTAGCTTGGGGGTTACGAAAGTACCTTAGGATCCGAATATAGCATTCAACCAACAAGACGTATCACTAGAGACGTTATCAGATATAGCTCAGAATAGAAGGCAGTGGCGAGCCTGCTGTAACCTTCTTTTACTTTCTTCATAAATAGTGGTCATAACTTCCTTAACTGAAGTAGTTCTTCTGGTTGTAAATTTCAGTTTCCCCCATCATTACTCTTATTTTATATATATATATATATATATATATATATATATATATATACATCTTCCCCCTTTTCTCTTTTTCATTCTCATTGTTTTGTATGGCGCATATATATCTGGTGCCCCCTTGTACCAATATTTATGTGTTTAAATAAATAAGTAAATTTAAAAGAAAAATAATAAGTGAAAAAAATTTTTTTTTAAAATAAAAGTATGTTTCCTCACTTGACTTTTATTGTGCTTCCTATAAAATATCGAATTAACGTTTGTAGAATAAGGCATATCATTGAAGTTTGTTACTTATGATGACTTATAGTAATTTGTCATCATATTGTCTATAACTGCTTTTGTTGAAGTTGGTTGTAAAATACCTTAACGCATCGGTGTTTCTGATCTATGAAATAGTTTCACATCTAAATATTCATGTATATATATTGCTTTGAATGATTATTCTTATCATTTGTAGACATGTTACTTCATCGCTCATACTACTACTACTGCTACTAATAGTTTATTTTTATTTATTTATTTAAACACATAAATATTGGTACAAAGAGGCACCAGATATATATGCGCCTCACAAACCAAATGAGATTTGTGTGAGGGCTGTGATACTGCATAGGTGCCCAAACAGAAGTAGGTGGTTTCCTTAGGAGACCACAGACGTAGCCTTTGACCTAAAGATCTGATCCCCAAGTCACGGGAGCATCGTGAGGAGATGCATCCAAATGGTAGCCGGTGATCAACAATTGATTCATACTCCATTTGTTCCTTCAGGATACTGGAGTCCATGTGCACCATTGGTTTGGAATCAGGGTTTTCCAACTCTCCTAGGTGGATGTGCCGTGTCCACCAAACCGGTTAAAGAGCCGGACATCCGCTTTTCGTCCTCTCAATTTCGTGAACAACACTCAAGCCACGAGAAGGCAGTGAGTAGGACTTCCCTGGCAGAGGCTAATAATGCGTGGCTATATGAGTGCATTTGGAAAGAGAGATCAGACTCTCCCCACCCTCAACCGTACCAGCGCATTTGGGGGCATTACTACTAATATTACATCATCTAATAATACATCATATCCATACGAGTTTCTTTATTATTAATAATCTTAGCCTATTCTTGTGTTATAAACGTCATTTTGAATATACGTCGTGCAGATGGTGTTTGTTTATAGTGTAACCTCCTCCTATTTATAGTATTCGTGATTGTAATAGTTTATTCTCATTATTTGCCACCTCTAACAAATTATTTATATAAGATATTTCTTGCGCCAACTCCTTGTAATGTGTTCAATATGGTGAACCTCACTTTACCCGGCGGATTTCCGTCGCTTTCCGTAAAGCTAATAGTGTAGAGAAAATAAATCAGAAATTGCTCTCGAAAAGGATTGTGTGGCTGACCTCAAGTTCACTCTTGAACCGTTAAGACCAACCTCAAACTAGCTTCCTCTTCAGGTCTTCCAACAAAATAGTATCTTTTCACAGTGTATTCACTTCTTTTTGAGATTATCATTGTGCACACAGTGAAGATCACTGTACTATAATTATGTGTTGATCAACACTTTTTACTCCTGCCAAATATATTTTGAATCATTTAAGTAGTGATTATATCTTTATTTATAATGACATTTTGTAATTATGATCAAATGTTTTGTTTTTACAATAGACAATGACAGATGTTTCTGACAACGAAAAAAACAGTATCAATTCGAAAACGAAATTCTTCGGTTGTCTGTCACCCAATAACTCAGATAGCCCTGAAATTGTCTCTGGCTGCATTCAGTCGATAAATCAAAATGCTTCTCAATTATCTGCTTCAGATAGGAAAAAGTAAGTAGAGTTTGTATTTTTCCATATATACTGAATCTATTTTGTTTTCAGAAGGGGTTTTGTGGAGATTTCAGTAATTTTTTTATATAGCTAAGATCATGAGTCAATTGAAGTTAGACCACCATGGAAAACCTGGAAGCACTGAACGGCCGTTTCGTCCTATTACGGGACTCCTCAGCAGTGAGCATCCACGATCCTGCCTCGTGAGATTCGAACCCAAGACCTATCATTCTCGCGCGCAATCACTTAACCTGTGGACCACTGAGCCGGCATCCAAAGGTGTTAATTTCTAACTTCAACTAATCCACAAAATCGAGCAACTAACCACCATTGCCTTCAGTGAGTTACTATCTCACAATAGACCCGATTGAACTCCATGGCCGTCCAGTGCTTCCAGGTTTTCCATGGTGGTCTAGCTTCAATTGACTCATGATCTTAGCTATATAAAAAAAAATACTAAAATCTCCACAAAACCCTTCTTGTGATAATGACAGACGGAACGTTGGATTTGCTTCAAATTCATGCGCTGAGTTTTTACAAATACATTCTTCCTCTTTAATGGAATAATAAGATACTTTAGGATTTTCAATTGTTATATGAGTTTCTCTGATAGCATCCTCAATTTTATAAATATCACTTTAAATATTGATTGGGAAATCGCAATAATGATCAACGGTAATACTGAACACCATTCGTAATCATTAAGATTTGTATATTGATAGTATAAAAATACGATGGTCTGAACCAAAGTGGTTGTCCCTACAAGTTTCGACCTCAATTCTTAATTCACAAGGGAAAGCAAATGGTTTCTTATTCTATTTTATCATTCAGGATCGTGATGACGATGTGTGTCACTGGTATGGAATAAAGGATCCTTTTTATTCGTCTTACGCTACATTCCTGTTTTTATACTTTAACATTTAGATAAAAAGATCCCGATTACTATGAGGCCGTAGATAGAACTTTTCAATAAGTCATAAATACACTATACTCCTTCAATAACATCTTCAAACCCTAATCTTTTACATTAATGCTTATACTCTTACTACTTCTACCACCATGTGATTTGAATCGACAACTGCATCTGTTTGCTGATGTGGTATGGCAACTCGAAGTGATGTACGTACGTACAAAGTTCTGCGTTGTGACTGACACTATATCTCTGCTTCATAGTATCACGAAAAATGAGGATGAATTATACTATACATTGTGTAGGACTATAATCAAAGGATATATTACTCATGGTTCACATCTTCAGTTGCAATTCTTGTCAATATGCATAGTAAATTTCGAATTAGATTAAAATTTAATTACTATCGAAGAATTTATTTTGTCTGCCAGACATCTGAAGGGAAACATGGAATACAGTGGACTTCTCAGAATCAATTAGATGATTCGGACTTCGCAGATGATCTAGCTTTCCTCTCTCATACACACGAACAAATACAGATGAAGACAACAAATGTAGCAGCAGCCTCTGAATCAATGGGTCTCAACATACACAAAGGAAAAAGCGAGATCCTCAAATAGAACACGGAGAACAGCAACCCAATCACACTTGATGGAAAAACTCTGGAAGAGGTGGAAACATTCACACACCTGGGAAGCATCGTTGATAATCAAGGAGGATCGGATGCAGATGTAAAAGCGAGGATTGGCGAAGCAAGGGAAGTATTTCTACAATTGAAGAACATATGGAACTCAAAACAACTGTCAACTAACTTCAAAGTGAGACTCTTCAATACGAACGTCAAGACAGTCCTATTGTACGGAGCTGAAACATAGAGAACAACTACATCCATCGTCAAGAAGGTACAGGTATTTATAAACAGTTGTCTACTCAACATTCATTGATCGGATACTATCAGCAATAGTGTTTTGTGGGAGAGGACTAACCAGCTTCCAGCTGAAGAGGAAATTAGGAAAAGACGTTGGAAACGGATCGGACATACATTAAGGAAATCACCAATGTGCATCACGACTCAATCCCTAACTTGGAATCCGAAAGGGAAGCGGAAAAGAGGAAGGCCAAAGAACACACTATGCCGGGAAATAGAAGCCGATATGAAAAGGCTGAATAACAACTGGAAAGAACTGGAAAGGAAGGCTCAGGACAGAGTTGGATGGAGAATGTTGGTGTGCGGCCTATGCTCCTCCACGTGGGGTAACAGGCGTAAGTAAGTACAGTTACGTACTATACATTTTATGAACTTCAATATTTTCGTTTATTATTTGTTTCTATTTAGGCGTATATCTCAATCAGTTCCAAAAATTTATAATCAGCTATGCAAGGAACAATGTACTAAAAAGCAGAAACGATCATGGCATAAAATATTTCCACATAGAAAACAATTAATTTCAAAAAAACAGCCTTTCCACGGAGCACACATAGTTGGAGCCTCTTCGAAAAAAAAGTTCTTAAACATGAATGACAAACACGAGTCGTTAGTTACTTCATATTCAAGTGAATGCCGTTCAGATGTTCTACACAAGTGTTCACAATGTAAGCTCTTTTTATAACTTATTAAAAATCATTATCACCTGATAAATGACGTCATTTATATGTGTAAATCTAAACGGATCTGTAACACAACCAATAGTTTCTGTATCTGAACCTCATCTTAAATCATATTAAGTATCTACTTAACATCATTGTCTCTCATACTGATAGTGAACTTCGAAACTAAGTATATTATTCTATACTTTATCAAACAATTTGCTTTATTTATTATTACGTTAATATACCCAAAATTATTTTGGATCAATCAAAGATTTTTAAAGCTTCTCAGCTTCTCAGAACTAGAGCAAGTTTCGTGATGCTTTGACCACATCTGACTTGTTAAGTATCAAGTTCGTTACCGAATTTAGTATCTACATAAAGACCTTCGAAGTGAACTTCCTTTCGTATTTACACCTTCTGGTTTCGATAGAGTATCAAAAATCGACTGTTGTAATTTTCAGGATATCTGTGAATTCCAAATCTGAAGGGCTTAGTTGACAGGCTCTATCAGTTATGAATTGCGTGATCAATCAAATATCTTTCCTATCCCTTGATTTACCATTAACGATTTCACTAAACTGAATTTGAAAATGCACCCATCATTACGCTAAATTTTGTGGATGTACATTTCTTAAACGACTAGATGAGTATTCGTTTATTAGTCGATGATCAATATGGAGTTGACGATATTTTCATATTTGCTACATTTTCCTGCACTAAATTAAAGTAATATATTGGATAACGCACAAATAAACTATTTCAACCCTTTCATTATTGCATAGGCAGTTGTATACCTGACTCCATACAACATATATTGTAAAACATTATACTAAATTTTCAGACTGCAAAGTGTAGGAAATGGCCTCCACTGATGTTTGGTGAGTAAATTATAAAAAAACCCAACTAAACCGTACAATATACTGGGTTATTACTTTGAAGTGACGTCTACTCTAATGGATTAAAGTATGAAGAGTGATATTTGTAATGCATTTACAAAACGTAATCTCAGTAACCTTTTCAGTCATGCCTATTTCAAGATGTTGAAATTGCAATCCAAATATTAGACACATTTAAGTCATATTTTGTTAAGTCCGAAGCGGTTTCGAATTCACTTAGTCAGCGAAATGGAACAAAGACTTGTGAATAGAGACTAATAAGCTAGCTATTCTGACGCGTCCCCGACTCAGCTAACTAGAGTGTGAAGTTCAAGTTGGAAGTGGATAAGATATATCCCATAAGCAGTCAGAAGCACAAGCAATTAAACCAGGAACAAATCAAACGTATATATACTGCATAAAATTGTCCTTGGAAAGCATTACAAAATAGCACACTAAAAGATACAACGAACCAATAGCGTTTAAGATATTTCCAAGTGTGAAATACGACTCGAAGATGAAAGGAGCGCTTTCGGCGCGAAAACAAAGAAATTCAAATTTCCAAAATAAAATTACAAAAATAAGTAATTTGCCAAGTGAGTTCTGGGGATTTAACATCCCCAACATATTTTCATTGACTACTGTATTGTTGGAATCGTTGATGTTGATGAATTGTAATGACCACGACGCATAGATATACTATGAATTTTAATTCTGTTTAATCATTTTCTGTCAAAATCAAATTAGTAATTATTCGAATAAGAACTCTAGCAGCTAAATCCGATGATTTGTGCATTTTCCATTAACTTCCACGTCGTGCATTATTTGCCGACTCTGGGACTGCTTGGAAAAAGTGAAGAGGTGGTCAGTATAAGACATGGTGTTGTGGTATGACAGAAAGTTGCAAAGGGCTAGCTTCTGTTGATCCTTCAAGACTCCCTAGCTGGGTTCCGAGAGATGGTGCAACACAGTGGCTAGAGACGTTATCAGATATGGCTCAGAAGAGAAGGCAGTGGCGATCCTGCTGTAACCTTCTTTTACTTTCTTCATAAAGAGTGGTTCTAACTTTCTTAACTGAAAAAGTCTTCCGGTTGTACATTCCAGCTCCCCCAACTATTACTCTTCTCTTTTTTTCATTCTTTTTTCCCTTTATATATACGCATCTTCCCCCTTTCTCTTCCCATTCTCATTGTTTTGTGTGGCGCATACGTATGTGGTGCCCCTTTGTACCAATATGTATGTGTTTAAATAAATAAATAAATTTACAATTTGTTTCGAATGTCTTTATTTTAGCAACTGATAATTCAAAAGAAAATGAAAAAATTACTTCAGGATTTCATCCTTCTTTTACAAACTGGCTTAAGCGTCGAAGGTGTAAGCTGTCAATTCATAACGATCTATCACCAGATATGAATATAAAATTTAACTGTGAGACTGGTTCAACTCCAGTATCTAGAGCTGAAGAAATACTGAGTAAAACATCTAATCCTTCAGAAAACGATCCAAATCGTAAAGTTCGCAATTCATTTACGCGCTCTCGGTTAACAAAACCTGACTATGTTCGTTTGGCTGCTGTACCTTTATTACCGGAAGGTGTTGAAGTAAACCCTAACTTGGTTTCAAGGAAAGATTTATTGTCTTGCCAAACCTCACTTACTTATTCATCGTTTAATAGCCCCAGAATTCCTTTAACCTCTTTATCAAATCACTCAAATTCAGCTATTGCTTCTCAAGAGATTTCTGTAAGTTATTTATCAGAAAAAATTTTTAATGCCTTCAGTCCTCGTTCGAACAAGTCGTCAAATTTCAGGTGAGTATGAAATACATTGTAATTTCATTGAAAAACGTGCGAATGTTACCAAATATTATTTACTAATATAACATGATAACTTGCAATGTTTCGTTAACGTCTCCCTGTCTGTTGTTGTATTTTGTAAAGTCTCTCCCTAGAAGGTAGAGTTAAAGCAACTAGAAAAATGTTAAGATTTTGGGGAAAATTCATAGCTTGAAGTGAATATTTATGCCTGATAGCGTTCTTCGAGTTAGTTGTTTGAATCATTTACAATGATTGGTTTGTTTGTTGATTTAAATCTAAAACTTCGTAACCAAATACATATTACTGTGCTCAGCATAAGATCATACTATAACTACACTGATATTGCTATTTGGGGTGATTAAATTTAAACGAATGGAGTGACTTTTTGAATTGCGACTCACTAACGAAACGTTTGGTGCTACGACCACTAGTGACCATCTAATTTCACACATCGAGCCAATCATCTTCATGAAGGAACATGCTAGCAAGAATAAGAATATGGATAAACTATTTTCACATAAATTATTCAGAGTTTATAAACTGCTTCACTTAGTTTACTTACTACTTATCATTAGTGTTTTGTGCGTTAAGCAGATTCATCTTGATGTCTCTATTGATTAGCTTCTTTGAGACTCGATTTTATTTAGTGTTATCTAGGAGGAAGAGCCTACCATTTTCACTACACTGTCCATGTTCGGTAAAGCCGACTATATCGTTCATATCGAATCAGCTGATATTGAATTACAGAACAGTTGAAAGTTTCTTACTAGTATGATCCAAGTTGGTAATCCAGATACAGGCATCTGAGTATTGACCAATGTCATGTTTGTTTAATTTCCTACTGATCAATATATATATATATATACCCTGATTTGGCCGAAGGTGGGTAGAGCCCTCTCTTCCTCTCGCAATGTTCTCACATGGCCACGCATATAAGGCCACTAACAAAGAAATTACTACTCATTACATTCTCAAAACAATAGCGTTGTTTACCAAATTATGGGGATGAAAAGCGAATATCCAGAGCCTTAACACGGTCGGTGGATATGGAGAATTCATCTAGGGAAATTAGAAAACGCTGATTCTGCACGTGCGCTCCATGGTCCTGAAAAAAAAACAAATGGTATATGAGTCTGTTGTTAGTCACTGACAACCATGGGACTGCATCTCCTAACAGTGCTCCCCTATCTTGTGGATTAGAACTCTAGATCAAAGGCTTGAAATGTGGCCCACTAACCAAACCACATTCTTCGGATTGAGCACCCGGGGGTATGTCAACCCATACGCAAATTTAATGATAGTTATTTTTTGTGGCGCATATGTATTCGGTACATCTTTGTACCAATGTTTATGTCAGTCATCAGTAAGTAAATAAATCAATGTAAGTGGTTGCAAATCGGCTGTTTTAAATCAGTAAGCAATCTTATTTTTCAAACGAAAACTAAATACATTCTATGATTACCTTGTTTATTGTTAGGTAGTTATTTTTGGTATGGAAGATTTGTAGAACCCTGACAACTCAATAATATGTTCCAATAAACATTATTGAAAACATTCTTCTTTTCCTCAAAGAAAGAATTTATGCACTTAGTATTGTTTGTTCGAATCTTCCCATTGATGCTTAGGACTGCAATTGATCAGTCTATTATTGGCATATGTGCACACTATGAGTATTGCCTCGATATTGCTTTAATTCACAAGCATCATAATCAAAGATGGATAGTGTCTAGCAGTGGAATACACGACGCGTGTTTCGTCCTATTTAGGACGCGTCAGCTGGATGTACCTGCATCTCAAAGTTGATGTTCACTCTGGGACTCTAACCCAGTACCTTTCGCTGTGAACATCAACTCTGGGATGCAGGTACATCCAGCTGAGGAGTCCCAAATAGGACGAAACGCGCGTCCTGCATTCCACTGCCTGCCACTATCCATCTTTGTTTATAAAGAATTAATGCGTTTACTAAGGGATTGCTCATATAATAAAATGAATTGAATAAGGTTGATCAAGCTAAAAGTCTTTCAGTTTTCATGCTGAGAAAGTTTCATCTAGTAGTAACTGACACTCTTCTTTATGTTTTAGGTGTAAGACAATGATTATAATTCATCTTGATTGTTTGTATGGAGATATCGTTTAATCTGACGATGACCTCCACCATAAATTAAGTTTTGCGTTCATTTTAGTTTTTACCTATTTTCCTGATTATGTTCCTTTTATTCCATCCTTTTAGATCCGATGTTATTGCACCAATGAAACCAGCTTCTCATCTAACACAATTATTATCTAGTTCTATTGAAAACCCAAATGTTTCCGGTAGAATTGATTTGATACGTACATCTAGTTTACTTGCTCGTAGGCAACAATGCATAACACGACTGAAAGCTCAACAAGATTTAAATTTGTCTCCACCAATCTATGATTTGAGAAGTTCCATGGATCAACAAAATCAGTTCCATAGGATACCATGTAACCAATTTATTTTGAAAAATCAACGAGTAAAAAGCTTACCTAATGTAAAGAACTATCCAATACATTCTAAGAATCATAATAGATCAATACAACTATCATTTCGATCTGATAAAAAAAGAAAGTCATTTGATCATTCTAATTGTCCAATGAATACTTCAAAAAATGAAGAATTATTAAGAAGGCTAAATAGAAATTGTGTTGGTTATTCGGTAAGCTAAATGTTATTAAATTACTTGATGGAATCCTCCCATTGTTACTAAGGATTGCAACTGATCAGTCTCTTATTGGCATATGTGAATACTGTTCGTATTGCCTCGATATAGCCTTATTTCACATGCATTGTAAGCAGAGTTGGATAGTGGCCAGCAGTGGAATACACGACGCGTGTTTCGTCCTATTTAGGACTCGTCAGCTGGATGTACCTGCATCTCAAAGTTGATGTTCACTCTGGGACTCTAACCCAGTACCTTTCGCTGTGAACATCAACTCTGGGATGCAGGTACATCCAGCTGACGAGTCGCAAATAGGACGAAATGAGCGTCCTGTATTCCACTGCTAGCCACTATCCATCTTTGCTTAAATGTTATTGGTTTTTTCTTATAATCGAAGAATATTTTAAATTCAATGACAATTTGAATAAAATAATTTACTTAGCGAAATATGACAACTCAGAGAGTTTAGACTCCATGATTTATTTTTATCCGGAACTCCAGATATTGTATGTTGTACTTTCATGCTTTTTTGTTTCTGTTGACCTCTGTAAGTTGGAAAAATGGTTTAATAAAATTCAGTGATGACAAGTCATTTGTTTCATCTTAGTTTGGTATGATGCAGCATCACGCATCTGTAATTTCCTATGGTATCAAACATAGATCTTTTATGTGTGTATTGGTAACGCTAATTCAAAAATTTGATTGTCTTATCTCAAGCTATGAAGTCTACACTAAATAGAAAAGGTACATCCAGCTGACGAGTCCCAAATAGGACGAAACGCGCGTCCTGGATTCCACTGCTAGCCACTATCCATCTCTGCTTACCATGCTTGTGAATTAAGGTATATCGAGGCAATACGCACAGTATGCACATATGCCAATTAGAGACTGACCAGTTGCAGTCCTAAACACATCGATGGGAAGATCCAAACAAACAATACTGAGTGAATTTAAATAGAAAATTGTTTTAATTTTTTGTTTACTTACTAGCAAAAAATAAGTAGTCTAACATATGTAATAAAATATTTACGCATTGTATCATACAATATGGAATGAAGACTAAGTACTCCAGATTATTTTCAATTGAGCAAAGTTCTTTCCCTAATGATCTACTTTTACTCCAAGTATGAATAAAGTCACGTTTTCTAACAGTTAATAGTGAACTTGGTCAAAATTACAGCATTTTTATCCTTTTGTGCATCATATATTCCAAGATATGGTTAAGCTTCATACTTCTGTGTTTTACATTGGAGTGGTTATCGTGAATGTCAATCCGGTTTGGTATATAGTGTCTGTCACTATGATTGCCGAATAACTTTCCAGTTGATAATTATTTTTTAGACGATATCTATTGCTCTTAATAAGAATTTTTATTTAGTAGTAGCAGGGAGCAGTTTAATTGAATAGCTCACTAATTCTGTTTACTTGGGTGTTATTTGTTGAGTATCAGTCATTTCACTGTTTTATCACTTATATATCTTTATATCAACCTAGTTACAAGATGAGGTAAATAAATTTTGTCGATAGGATTTCAGTCTGTCGAATGTGGTTACTTAGTTTACCTCGCAAATTCTACAAAAAGTATATAGACGAATAGAGCAAAGAAATGTTTCTTTCCAATTAGTTGAAATCTATTGTAAAAACGTCTGGTTTTTACTGAATGTCTGAATGGGAATTATCATCTCACTGCAAAAGATAAAGTACACTGTCACCTGTTATATTTAATGCCATGAAAAAACTATTGGGGAGACCTAGAGTATTCCTTGAAAAGAGGTCAGAGGAACCCTGAAGACGTTGAAAATCATTTTATCCAATGAACATTGGAGAGGAGTCTCTCAGAAACATCTAGAAAATGAAGATTTACATGCCACATTTTTTGATTGGATGATTACATATCTTGCTATCATGTTTGGAAGGGTTTCAAAACCTTCCTTAATCTCAAGGCCATCCTCAGTGCTATAAATACCTTCGATTTTGTGTGCATGAGTTAATCATGTAGCAAAGCATACTTTCTATTTTGTCGCGCCTTTTCTCTCGTGTTAAAGTGGTCGTGTGGATTTAACCCTGGGATTATTAAAAGAGCTTAGGAAACTAATTTAAGCGTGTAATGAGAAGATTTGTCAGACATTCACCGAATTCATTTGAATCATCTATCAGGATAAACATATTTTGAGAGATGATTATCTATACGGATCTAACAAATAACCTTTCATATATATATATATATTGAAGTTACTGCAATTTGTTCGTTTCAGTTCTTCCAAATACACCCCCGAATTCCCTGGTACGGCTGAGAGTGAGGAGAGTAAACTCTCCCTCTCCAAATGCTCTCACATGACCACGCGTATATAGCCTCTGTCAGGGAAGTCCTACTCACTGCCTTTTCGTGGCGGGGGTATTGTTTACGAAAGTGAGAGGACGAAAAGCGAATGTCCGGCAATTTAACCGGATTGGTGGACACGGCACATCCACCTAGGATAGTTGGTAAACCCTGATTGTGAACCAAAGATGCACATGTGCTCCAGTATCCTGAGGGAACAAATGGCGCATGAACCTATTGTTGGTCACCAGCTACCATGGGACAGCATCTCCTCACGATGCTCCACTGCCTTGTGAATCAGGCCTCTATGTCAAAGGCTTGGGGTGTGGCCCCCTGAGAAAACCACCTGTTTCAGTTTGGACACCTGGTCAGTATCACAGCTCTCACACAAATGTCATTTGATTTGTGCGGTACATATATATCTGGTGCTTCTTTGTTCTGATATTTATGTGTTTATATGAATAAATAATTAAATTCAATTACGCTCTAATTTGTAAAAATAACTAAAGTGTTTTACAATATAATTATATGTGTCATATGTACAAAGCTGTTCACCTCACGTTGTTCATGTTACACATATGATTACATCATAAAACATTTTGAATTATTTTTAAAAATGAATGTATATTTCAAAGAATTGGAACACACATACACACACACACAAATGAAATGAATCTAATTCATTTCACATTATTTACTATTTCTACTTGTAAAACACTTTTTAAGAACCTCCACTTCATGTAACCATGATACTATTGTTGAATATTACATCGACATAACCTACACTTTCTCCTAGTTATAAAGGAAACTTATTTATTTATTTATTTAAACACATAAATATTGGTACAAAGGGGCACCAGATATATATGTACGCTACACAAATCTCATTTGATTTGTGTGAGAGCTGTGATAATGCCAAGGTGCCTAAACTAAAGCAGGTGGTTTTCTTAAGGGGCCACATCTCGAACCATTGACATAAAGATCTGATCCACAAGGCAGTGGAGCATCGTGGGAAGATACAGTCACATGATAGGCGGTGACCAACGGTTAATTCATACGTCATTTGTTCCATCGGGATACTGGAGCCCATGTGCACCATTGGTTTGGAATCAGGATTTTCCAACTCCCCTTGGTGGACTCACCGTGTCCACCAACCCAGTTGAAGTGCCGGACATTCTCTTTTCATCCTCTTAGTTTCGTAAAGAACACCGTTGTTGTGAGAAGGGAGTGAGTAGGACTTCCCTAGTAGAGGCTATATACGCGCGGTCATGTGAGAGCATTTGGAGAGGGAGAGTTTACTCTCCTCACTCTCGGTCGTACCATGGCATCAGGGAGCAAAATGGCTACCGCCTCCGGGTGGAGTCGAGCAACCAACCCTTCGGTTAACAGCCGAACTCGCTAAACGCTTGCGCCTCGGAGGCCACAGATGAGAAGGGAGATAGATTAAGAGGTGATATAATAATCAATCATTTGAATGACTTTTACTTTCTTGTTGTTGAATAACTCTTTTTATCCCCGGATACCACTTTTTCTCTATCTGAATACTTTAACTAAATATTTATTGAGCAGTACTCATTGTTTTAGCATTGCTAGGTGAATTACCCATCATTAAAACATCTAAATAAGTAGATAAAACTGAATTGTATGTATATAAACAGTTGTTGATCACATAATATTTTTGTTTGGTTCAAATAGTAAGTCGTTTCATTGCTTAATCTGTTATTTGTAGCTTACTTAGGTTTAGGTTTCGAAATGCCTTTTTAACTGTAGTCGCAACTATTAAATAGTAGCTTACAGTTTCCAATCAGCTTTTAGGTAGTACATGGAACAGCTGCCTTGAACCGTTTGCTTGAAAACAGAGATTCGTAGTAGTTTATCTACTTTATTTTATTTGTTACCTGTTCCTGGAAATATTTTCATACTCACAAAACATTTTAGTATAAGTACGTGTGATTGAAGGCCTCTTGAGGACAGCCTCGAATCGGCCTACATTCAAATAAAGTAAACATGAATATTGATTCATCGCTTCGAACAGTGGCCACACTACAACTACCATTTAATTAACAACTAGAATTAGGCAAAGACGGCATTTACTGTGATCTAGGGATTACATTTTAGTTCCACAGAATATCAATAATGGCGAAAAAGTCTCAGTGATATCTGTAAATGTGACATCGGATGAAGCTGGTTTCCTCTTGTTTACTAATATCCTCTGTTCGTAAGTGCCAACCATCACTATGCCAAATTCAAGTAAAGTTTTCTATCGATTGCCCTTAGGTAGAGTTGTCTTGGTAACATGTGTGCGTGTTTTCATTTTTGATGATTTACATACATGATGGAGCAGTTGAACATAGTTACAATATTATATTCTGCATCTATCCTAACCATAATATTATGTTGTTATTTTGTTTTCAGTCTTTTGATGACTATATTTTAGTTCAAAATAATGAAAAATATCAATCAGTTCATACAACTGACCATTTACTACAAGAAACAACCGTTTCAAGATGTTCCCAGTCAAAGTGCATTGATAATGTAGAAATAAGAAAAGCCTTACTTTCTCAAAGTTGTAAAAAGCATCATTTAATGGAACATGAACCGAAACATGAAAATATTTCGTCAGTCTCTAAAGAATCCATCGGTATACAATGTTCTGTTGCGGAATCGAACTATAGGAGCCTTGGCATTTGTGATGCAAGTGTACAAACCGAGATAAGTAATCCGAAAATTCCAGATTTCGGGTAATCTATCGATTAAAAATATACAAAACTGTTTTTTTTAAAGTTCATCCATTTATTTTTGGTACTATGCATAGCACAATTAATAATATTGACTATATGGAATTTATTATCAGAAGGGGTTTTTGTAGAAATTTAGCATTTTCATAGCTGAAAGCGTGAGTTAATTGAAGATAGACCTCCAGGGAAAACTTGGAAGCACTGGACGACCGTTTCGTTCTATTGTGGGACTCCTCAGCAGTACACATCCACGACCTCGCCTCGCGAGATTCGAACCCAGGACCTATATGGAATTTAATAATGTTTTCAATTTTATTCGTTTCTCTGTTTCATTTAACTAATCTGTACATGATTGAACTGATGCGATCTTGTCAGGACAACTAGTTCTCTATCGAATTCACTGTGAAGCTAAGGATTTACTCTAGAAAAATTTCAGTTCATCTGAATTTATGAATTTCATAAAATCATCGACTGTTGCACTGAATCGTGTTAATAGGTGCGAACTACCTAATTGGGATCCATATGGGAACCTCAATCAATGGACTAGTTTGTGGCAAAATATAACTAACTGACAGTGTAAATAATCCCACCAATGGTTATTCATGTCATAAAAACCAACCTTATATCATATTGAAATCCTTTTAAAAACATTTTTTTTTAAAATTTTATATTTTGGTTTAGTTCTGATAGATTAATACTGCTTTACTCCGCCTGTAGCTCCACCGGGGGCTACTGCCGATCCCAAGCCCGTGTAGAGGAGGAGAGTTAGGCATAGGGTTAGCGACCCCATCCCGTAGTAAACCAACTCGCTATAAAAACGCTAACCAGAAAAAACTATTCAAACTATTTAAACTCTGCCCTGGGAGTTAAAGGAATAATTATGACATCTCATAATGAAAGCCGAGTTCCTTCGGAAGTCAATAAGTAAATAAGCTTTACACAAATCGCCACAAAGGTGCAACCAGTTATATACTTACTAATACTAAGAGCTTATTGGATTCTGTCGATTAATTTGTAGTATAATCAACAGACTAGACGATATGACATTGAAATATACTCTATTTTATGTTTAGTGGTCAACATGAAAAGTTTGATCTGGATCTGTGTTAATCTATATTTATTATTTAGGTTCATCTTTATTTTTGAAAGGATTTATGATTTCCGTGGTATTCAAGCTAATGTCTTTTCCGATGATATAATTATTCTATTTACTTTTAAGTGAGACTTAGTTCCAAATGAACTGAAATCTTCCCTGAATACTTATAAACACTACCCTTATGGATAATTTGATTTCCTTTTATGGTGTGTGCATTGGGAATGTGAATAGGTTGTGATTTTGACCGGTTTCATGGTATAACTTTGTAACTGACAGAGAAACCTACTGTTTCTCATTAATGAATTACTGTTTCTTATATATATCGACAACCAACTTGTTTTATGAGAAAACAATTATGGATCTTATACGATCTAGGTAATGAGTAGCATTATAGTTACTGAAGTAAGGTTGGTCACATGCTACTAGATCACAATTGATGAAAATATTTACCACAACTATTGTGCGTGTAGTAATTGTTAATCACTCTATAATTATATCAATTTATTTTACTAGAATTTCGGAGTCAGAAAGAGTTACGGAGAATCAATCATTGTCTGTTTATAACACTGTTTCATCAAATCCTGAAACGGAGCACACACTGCCAGATGATTTTTTCAGTTTGCCTCGTCCATCTTCTTCTGTCAGTTTATGTAAGTTAAAAGCAGTGATATGAGTATTAATAAAATGATATTATCCTTTATTACTTTAAATGTTATTTTTTCCTCTCTTACTTTGCATTTCCCACTCACGTATAAACTAAGTCACACTGCTGACTGTACAGAGGTGTGACGGCAGTAAGGTATTTCCTTCAGACAAACAGCGTGACAGCGATGCTGCCTTCCAACAAGTAGGGATGGGGTCAGAAAATGTCTACCCCAAAAATGCACACCTCGCCTTATCCTACGGATATCCGTCTCCGGCGGTAAGGTCCTTTGAAGAACGGAGCTAACACAAAAATTACCCACAAAAAGGTCGTGCGTTACCGACCTCAAACAGTTGTCCCTTGAGCACTGCGGTCACGCTCCCAGGTCGTGAAGACCAACACTAATCCAAATTCTTTTTCAGGTCCTTCAAGAAATACCCTTCCACGGTGTGGGCAGCCGGGAAGTGGTATTAGCCCTCATACCCGTAACTGCACACGAGACGAAGTAGGTCACGTTCAAATCCTTCCTCCTTTCAAGAGATGAAACAGTGAATTATGTGTTAATATCTCATATGTATGCCTATATCCCATGTTAATTTGAAGTTTATTTACATAATGGACTACCTTTTAGTAGGCAACCATAGCAGTGGATACCTACGATCCTCTAAATACCGTACGCAGTAACATCAGGAAAACAATGAGTTTATTAACTTTAGTTCGCTAATACATATTTCCACGTTTATTCGTTTACTAATGAACAAACAGCTACTTTGGCTTTATTATATGTTTAAAAATCTGTGTTGTTAAGATATTCGCTTTCCTTTTATGTTATTTCGTACGGTAGTTAGTATTTCAATGAATTCATTTTGCAACTATTAGAATGGATAATTCACTTAGTATTGTTTATTTGAATCTTCCCATTGATGTTTAGGACTGAAACTGGTCAGTATCTTGTTGGTATATGTGTATAGTGTGCGTATTGCCTCGAAATAGCCTAAATTCCCAAGCATGGTAAGCAAAGATGGATAGTGACTAGAAGTGGAATCCAGGACGCGCGTTTCGTCCTATTTAGGACTCGTCAGCTGGATGTACTTGCATCTCAGAGTTAATATTCACTCTGGGACTCGAACCCTGTACCTTTCGCTTCAAACGCCGTCACGTTATCCACTCGGCCACTGAGTCCTGATAGCCACTTGCTTGTGCAATGGGGTGACGTGTAATTCACTTAGTATTGTTTGTTTAAATCTTCCCAATGATGTTTTTTTTTGGACTGCGACTACGTATAGTTTATCGAGTTAATGTATGAATAGTGAATAAGCGATGTAGCATATGTGTTAAACCAAATGAAGGTATCACTGATTTCCTATGAATAGACAGTTTAAACAAATCAGTAATAACTGTTTCTTAAATGACATGGAAGATGAGTTGAATTTAATTTTTAAGATCCAACTTATTCCGTTGTTGATATTCTTGACTGAATTTTGACCAATCTTAACTAGTATTTTTGTGCATACTATGAAGAGTCCCTCAATAATGACATTTTTGACGAGTACTACATTCCACTGCTAACTATTATGAACTTCACTTTGTGTTATTGTGCACGTTTTACTTACTTACTTACTTACTTACTTACTTACTTACTTACTTACTTACTTACTTACTTACTTACTTACTTACTTACTTACTTACTTACTTACTTACTTACTTACTTACTTACTTACTTACTTACTTACTTACTTACTTACTTACTTACTTACTTACTTACTTACTTACTTACTTACTTACTTACTTACTTACTTACTTACTTACTTACTTACTTACTTACTTACTTACTTACTTACTTACTTACTTACTTACTTACTTACTTACTTACTTACTTACTTACTTACTTACTTACTTACTTACTTACTTACTTACTTACTTACTTACTTACTTACTTACTTACTTACTTACTTACTTACTTACTTACTTACTTACTTACTTACTTACTTACTTACTTACTTACTTACTTACTTACTTACTTACTTACTTACTTACTTACTTACTTACTTACGCCTGTTACTCCAAATGGAGCATAGGCCGCCGACCAGTATTGTCCAACGCACTCTGTCCTGGGCATTCCTTTTCTAGTTCTATCCAATTCGCTTTCATTCTTCTTATGTCTGTCTTCATTTGTACACGTTTTAGTTCATTTGAAATGAATTAGTCAAGTACTAACTGACGTATTTATTTTTAAATAAATGGTTGGAGACTCTAGGTGACATGGCTCAGAATCGATCACAATGACGTAGGTGTTACACTCTTTATCTTCCCTTAAACCTTAAGATTAAAATTGCTTCAGCAGTAATTTATATACTACTACCACCACTAGATTAATTACTTCTATGAATCCAGTGTTTATCTTGTTGTGCTAACGAGGTATGGCAACTTGGACCGATGCATAAATGTGCCTGGTCCTATGTTGTAGCTGACTGACTGACTGACTCTTTATTTATTATCTTTCTATTCACCAATTGTTTTTTGCTAGATGTTGAAGATTCATCTGAAACTCCATCCACTACAACACTTTCTAAACAAATATCTACTTCAATGATAGAAATTAAATTCCCTAATCCACTTCAAAAGTTGAACTACTTCAAACTTCATAGATCTGCAAGTTTTCATTTTGATCATAATAAATTTGTTGATAATCATCTCATGAATAAAGATCTCATACTTCCTTATAAAATACACCTTCCACAACATAATATTGATTTATGGAGAAGAAAATTGTTTCTAAAATCATCATCCATTTCTCATTACTCATATTCAAATTCCTTGAACTTATCATTTAAAGTAAAATCTGATGATGAATATTACAATTTTATGAATATACCTTTGACAAGTACTATTCCAAGTTGTAATTTATCTTCAACCATAATTTCTAAGAAGTCAAAGATTACTAATAAATATTTTGATCATTTATTATTAATCAATAAATTGACATTATCAAATTCGAAACGAATACCTTTTAGTGAAATTCAATCAATCAATCAATAATTGTCAATCAATATATTTTCCTAGAACAATCAAAAATTAGTTACCCTTTTGTCATTTATTTCATTCAAGTAAGATAGTTTTATGATTATTAATTTGAATTCAATTTTTGTTATACATCAAAAAAGTTTTTGTTTTTAAATTCTGTTCATTAATGATTCTAATAATTTTATTCTACTGAGCTGGTTTCGATGGAAATGTAATTTTAAATGATGAACAAATAAAAACTATGAAAATTTATTATCATCTCCTGAATGTCTTGGTATGGCTGAGGGTGCGGGGGGGAGTCTATTCTCCCTCTCGAAATGCTCTGACATATGACCACACGAATAAAGTCATTGTCAGGGAAAACCTACTCAATGCCTTCTCACAACAAAGGTGTTATTTACGAAATTGTAAGGACGAAAAGTGAATGTTCGGAGCTTTAACCGGATTGGTGGGTACGGATGTTCCATCTAGAAGACTTGAAAAACCCTGACTCCAAAACAATGGTGCACATGGGTTCCAGTATCCCGATGGAACAAATGGCGTATGAATCATTCGTTGGTGACCGGCTACCATGGGACTGCATTTCCTCACGATGGTCCACTGCCTTGTGGATCGGATCTTTAAGTCAAAGGCTCAGGGTGTGGCCTCTTAAGAGAACTACCTGCTTCGATTTGGGCATCCGAACAGTACCGTAGGTACCTGAAAACAAAACTGGATTAGAAGTGGTCTTAATGACCTGAGAGCGTGATCGCATTGCCCAAGGGAAAACTGTTTGAGGTCGGTCACACACGACCTTTTAGTGAGTAATTTTTATGTCAGCTCCGTACTTATTGGGACCTTACAGCCGGAGACGGATATCCGTGGGGTAAAGCGACCTTTTCTAACCTCACCCCTCCTTATAGGAAGGCAGTATCGCTTTTATGCTGGTTGTCTGAACGAAACACCTTACTGCCGTCACATCTCTGTACAGTCAACAGTACGACTTCGCCTTCGGACCTTGGGTTTGCTTTTTTTTAGTCTTGCCGCTCTTCAAACGACCTGCCTTGAGGAACGATTGTTCCAGCCAGTATAGCTCGATTGGTTCATCACGATAGGCAAGCCCGACCACTATGTCAAGGTAGCAGCGGCGGTCGGAATAGACCGTTTTCTATCTTGATCGATTTTTCAGAAGTAGCGTTGGTTATGACGTTCAACCTATGACATTTGCGATCGTAATCGCATTATTTATTAACCTCTTAATAATTCACATAATTACCATCACATATCAGTAAATTAAAGATTTCGGGGATGGTTAGTATTATTTCCAAATATTGAATCAAAGCTGTCTTATGGGCGATCAAACTACCATGCAAACAGTAACTGAATAATTGAATACAGCTGAAGTAGTTTATTTTTCATTGTCTATCTTTCACAAATAGCCCTAATTAAACTTCACTTTTGAAGAATAAGTGTTCCATGTGTTTGTGTAACAAGTGAAATATTGATTTGTAAAATATGCATTAAAGAGTTGCTAATGTACTGTAATTCGCATAAATTCACAATCGTATATTCTCATTTACTCTGTTGCATTCATCAGTATAAAACCATCAGAATGGTGCATGAAACTTTTAAGTCATATGATGGTTAGTGTCTTTTAAAATTTGGTTTCAATTAAAGTATTAGTTTTCATTATATCCAGTACACTTAGGAACCACATCGCGGAACTCTTTACTATTTTTTACATTACCGGCATTTCGTACACTTAAAAGTCAAATGAGCGAAGATGAAAATTTTAAAGAAGGTACTTATTTTTTTAGATTTCTTGCTGGTTTATGGTGCGAACCACTTAGTCATATGAGAGAGTACGCTGATAATTATCTTGACGTTATTTCTTAACACAGTGGTTGTTCATCATTGTAAATTGTCTTGTTAGTGTATGTACCACCATCTTCCTTTCATACAATTCATACTATGAATGCTTTATATTGCGTTAAATATGGACTTTGATGCCTGAATGTTATCTTGTAGAACATCTTTTACTTAAAAAGTGATGAACAAGGCTTTGTTGTTGATCTGGAAATAGTTTTGTTTTAACACTGTCAAGTGCCTGGAAATAGAAACAATCCCTGATTGTTATCCCTTTGAACAGATATCCGAGTACCTTCTCTACTGGTGTAATTCAGTGTATAAAACAGCTTCAATCTCTTCAATACAATTAGAACACTTGTTTAATGTGTTAGGTATGTCTAACTCCTGTTTACGACGACTACCGAGGCTTGTTGGTAACGAATTAGGTTAAAATAAAGCTATGGGAGGTCAAAGCAAAGTGTGTAATTAGTCCTTGCAGTCACTAGCTGTCTGTACTATGTTAATAGATGCAACCTACATGGTTGGGGTGTGCATGACAACTTCAATTAGTGATTGGAGACGTAATGTGACATGGTGGAGATGCAGTTTTCCGGTGTGTTTCTCTAAACCTTTAATTCCAGTATCTCTTCGTAAATCTTAGAAATAAGTCAAAGGTAATGATCAAATACATCACACTTAGTTTATCTTTTAGGATATTTTGAATGTGGTCAGTCTGTTTGGTATATAAACTCAGTATGTTTGAAATACAAGGATTCATACCGCAGAGGCTGTTATTGGTGTCCTGGACTTAACTGGCTGGGCTAGGCAGAAGCAGGACCGATAAGCACTCTAGCCTCCTCATACAGTTTTTATGTGTCACTATTCCGATCGATAAATCGCTGCTCTCTGATTGGCAGTCTTATCACGTCATACGTTAACAAGGCATCCACCCGGCCACAAGTTATAACACAATGATGAGTATATGAATTGAATATCAAGTTGTCTCAAATATATGTTGTAATACTGGGTCTATGATTTGTGCAAACGACCGAATCCTTCGTGCTTACAGTAAAGACTTGATCATTTGTTGGTTCTTTGACTACAAAGACCAGCAGAACACCATTTGACAGACAATGAAATTCTATAGAATTAGTGTTTCATGTATTGTGAGTATTATACAAAGCAATTTGCTAAACAGACAATTATTAAATACTAGCCTTTCTAAATCATTAACTTAGATTTTCCTAATGTATATTAGCATAAAAACGTTTCTACTAAGATGTTTCTTTTTACTATAAACACTTTATCTAACTAAGTTATCTCTTATGTACATTAATGTATGTATATGTTTTTTCTTGTATTTATTACATCTTGCTGACATATTTCAGAAGAACATCATTCGTCATCGTCATCATCATTATCATCCGTTGAACACCAATTCACTCGACTTTCTTCATTGTCTCCATCATCATCATCATCATCATCATCATCATCATCATCATCATCATCATCATCATCATCATCATCATCATCATCATCATCATCATCATCATCATCATCATCATCATCATCATCCAAATCATCATCATCATCATCATCATCATCATCATCATCATCATCATCATCATCATCATCATCATCATCATCATCATCATCATCATCATCATCATCATCATCATCATCATCATCATCATCATCTGGGTTTTATTGATTTCAACCTCATTACTTTCATTGATCAAAGTAATCTCATCTAAATAATTATCATTATCACTATAATACGTTTACATATCTTGAAAGAGATTGAGACAAAGATAGTGAAAGTAGTAATGAATAACACATATCTATATTGTACCTTAATGTATTCTTAATCCATTTTGGTTCCTTTCTTTACAAAACACATCGAGACACATTGAGATAATGTTAATTTATCAGATGTAAAGTTCCTATTCTCTCTTTTTATCTATTCCATCATAACCCCTCGATAATAGTTCTACCATTATTATTATTATTATTATTATTATTATTATTATTATTATTATTGACTGTATTTTCATTATCATTATTATTAGTAGTAGTAGTAATAGTATGATTATATAATCGATTGTTTTAATTCTGTTTTTATTGTTGTGTTTGTTTTTATCCTTATTTTTTGTGTTTCTGTTTTGTTTTTATTCTAATGTTCATTCATTCATTGTTAGTCTACTCTTTTAAATAATAATAATAAACAGAGTAGTAACAGTTTGTTGCCAGTATTAAGATGTTACCATCAGCTGATGGTTACTTTCAGTCATAAAATAGAATGAATTAATGAAAATGATATGGTCATTCGGATCCAGTTCAATAATGGAATCAGATTTCAAGTGGTAATAGAGGAAACGATAGCAAATATAATTACTAATCTTATTTATTATTTTTTTTATTTAAACACATAAATATTGGTACAAGGAAGCACCAAATACATATGCGTCACACAAATCGAATGAGATTCGTGTGAGGGCTGTGATACTGCTCAGGTGCCCAAACTTAAGCAGGTGGTTTTCTTAAGGGACCACAGCTGGAGCCTTTGACCTAAAGGTCTGATTCACAAAGCAGTGCAGCATCGTGAGAAGATGCAGTCACATGGAAGTCGGTGACCAACGATTGATTCATATGCCATTTGTCCTCTCAGGATACTGGAAACCATGTGAACCATTGGTTTGGAATGAGGGTTTTCCAACTCCCTTTGGTGGACTCGCTGTGTCCACAAACCCGATTAAAAGCCGGACATTCACTTTTCGTCCTCTCAATTTCGTGAACAACACTCAAGCCACAAGAAGGCAGTGAGTAGGACTTCCCTGGTAGAGGCTATATATGTGTGGCCATGTGAGATCATTTGGAGAGGAAGAGCGGACTCTCCACACTCTCGGCCATACCAGAGCATTTCGGGTGCAATTCCCGATCTAATTATATCTGAATAAGTTGAAAGATATTAGAAGCAAAAGTTTAGCCAGTTATAGAAATGAATAGATATTTTGGTAAATAATTACTCGTTAAATTGAATTTTAACCAACCTAAAAGTACAATAAAATTGTGATTTGTAGGTTTTATACTGGCTTGTTCACTTATATTGGAACTCTCATCAGCCTTTGTGGTCTGGTGTGTGAGGAAATCTCAGCACTGATTCAGAAGGCCCATTCGGCTTTCGCCAACTTGCGTCATTTGTGGCGTAGGCGAGATATCCGTCTAGCAAACAAAGGACGGGTTTACTGTGCAGCAGTTTGTTCCGTCCTACTTAATGGCAGTGAAACATGGCCGATAATAGTAGCGGATATTCGTAAGCTGCTAGTATTCGATCATATCCTGGGAGCAACGAGTAATTAATCCAGTTGTTAGGAAACGGGTACTCTGTAAGGATAGCAAATCGATTGATGAAGTAGTGAAACTTCATCAGTTGAGATGGCTGGGACACGGGTTACATATGCCCAACCACCGACTGCCCCGATGTGGAATGTTTTATGACGTATGAGTAGGTTGGAAGAAAGCTAGGAGCTGCCAGATCAAAACGTGGCAAAAATCCATGAAGTCACTGAGCCATGATGGTAGGTGTAGACTACCTGGTTGGGATTCGGGAGATGATAGCAATCGATGGTTAGAGACCTTGAATGAGATGGTTCAAAATCGTTTGCAATGGCGAAGGTGCATCCACTCTTTGTGTT